GATCCCAGCCCGGGTTCCACCAGCCCCATGGCCACGACGGTCCCATTGCTGCCTGGAGCCCCCACTGATTCCCAACCTCATCCGTAGGGATCTGGGATCAAGGGACAGATGTCACAGAATGTCCCCAAGAAGCCACCGGGATGCCCCCAGCGCCCTGTTTGGGATGTAAGACGAGTGGTGGTGGCAGGCCCCCTGCTCCCATGCGCTGTAATGTGGCACCCTGGGGACAAATGACCCCCCCCGGGTGGCAGATGGCTCCTTGTATGGCTGAGGACCGGCTCTGCCACCAGCCAGGATATAAATAGCCCGTGGCCAAAGGGTCTGATCCAGGGGGGTGCTGAGCATCACCCCCCCTCCCCATCCCCGGCACAAGGGCATGGGCCATTGGGTCCTGCCCATGTGGGTTGTGGGAGATGCTGGGGGGGATCTGGGGGTCCCCAGCACATAGGGACGTCCCCATGGCTCAACTGGGTGTTGGACCCCCCTGGACCTGCTCATCTGTGTTGGATTTGGGGGTGCAGGGACACCCCCCCCAATGGACCTAGAGCTCCCATGCATGGGCAGAATGAGGACCTGAGCTATTGGGGGGCTCCTGGGTCACTTTGGGGTCTGACAGGACCGTGGGCTCCAGAGGGGGGGTAACGGGAATGGGACGGGACAAGGGCAGCCCCACAAGGTCAGAGAAGCAGGAATGTCACCAGTGCTGTCACACAGCGCCCGCCCCGCTGCCACCAGGGGAAGGTCACACACGGTGTCCTGTGGGCACCGGGATGGGCTGCACGTCCCCTGTGCTGCCCCATCCCATCCTGCTCCGTTAACCAGCCCTGCCCCACACGCTCCTCCTTGTCCCTTCCTCCCTCCTGCCCATCGGCTCGCTGCTGCTTTGGGTGGATTTGTGCTGTTTGGGGGTATTGGTGGCCAAAGCAGCAGCCAGAAAGCCCCATCTGGGTCCCTTTAGGAACCAGAGGAGGGAACTGGGGACCTCTTTGGACTGGGAGGGGAGAACCTGATGCTGAGAGGAAGACCTTGGAGATTTCTTGGTTTTGCCCCTATTCCAAACCCTGATAACCCCAGTCTGGACCCAAACCCAGCCCTTCTTGTCCCAAAGAACTCTCCTGGACCAAGGGACCCCCCAGCACCACCTCTCACCCCATGCACTGAAGGGGAGACTGCTCTGCCTGTGGTGCTCTTTGTGTTCCCCCCCCTCCATGCTCAGCACAGCCCAGGGCTGGCACTGGGAGGCACGGAAAGGGGCCGGGGCAGAGGGACGTGGCCCTGGAGCTCACTTACATCAATTGCTGTGGCTTTAAGGCTGGTGTCACCGTGTGGGGCACTGCCAGCACCGGGGGTTCTGTGCTCCTGGCTCCCAGTGTCCCAGCTCCGGAGCTGTGCATCCCTCACCTGGGATGTGGAGCTGTTGGAGCGAGGCCAGAGGAGGCCGTGGAGATGCTGCGAGGGCTGGAGCAGCTCTGCTCTGGAGCCAGGCTGAGAGAGCTGGGCTGGGGCAGCCTGGACAAGAGAAGGCTCCTGAAGGGGAGACCTGAGAGCAGCTCCAGTGCCTGAAGGGGCTGCAGGAAAGCTGGAGAGGGGCTTGGGACAAGGGATGTAGGGCCAGGCCAAGGGGAATGGCTTTAACCTGCCAGAGGTTGAGGAGACTGAGATGAGCTCTGAGGCAGAAGCTCTTCCCTGTGAGGGTGCTGAGGCGCTGGCACAGGGTGCCCAGAGAAGCTGTGGCTGCTCCATCCCTGGCAGTGCTCAAGGCCAGGTTGGACACAGGGGCTTGGAGCAAGCTGCTCCAGTGGAAGGGGTCCCTGCCTGTGGCAGGGCTTGGAGCTGGAAGAGCTTTAAGGTCTCATTCCAAATCATTCTGCGATTCTGTGACCTTACTTTGAGCAGGAGCAGCACGTGTCAGGGCTGAAGGGGTAACGACAGTTCGGGATTACTCAGCACCCTCAGGAAAAGCTGGATCCGTTGTTGTTTTCCCACTCTGAGATCCCTTATCCGTGTTCGCATATTCAGGATGGAGTTTTACATCCTTGTCATCCAGCTCCTGTTACCATTAAATGGATCCAACCCCTTCCCATGAGCCTGGCAGAGTGCCCTGGGGCCACTTCACTTGAGACCTGCAAAGGGCAGGTCACAGAGCTGAGCTCTGGGCACCCTCCATCAGCTTGGAAAGGAGTCAGGAACATGGGGAGCCTGGCAAAGAACCAGCAAACACCTAAAAAGAGCTGGATTACAGAGCCTCTGCAGCATCCCAAGGGCCTGAGTGCCTCGAGCTCTTATTAACGAGTCTTATTCCAGTCCCTTTGCGTCTCCCAAATTCCTTGCTTTTATAATGCTTTGATCCAAATGCTTTTCTCCCAAAGAGTCACCAGAGCAGGAACTAGGCAGAGCTCATGCTTGGGATGCTCCTAAACCCACATTTAAGGCTGTCAGAATTCCATGATAAAAGCTGATCCCATCCTGTAGTTTCCAACACACCTTCCCTTCCTAAGCGCCTTGTGAGTGCAGAGCTTCAGACTGGGAGTGGCAAAACAGACACAGGTTGTGTCATTGAGCTGTGAACTGGATGCAGGAGCTCAGGAAATCGAGCTTCCAGGATGATCCCATCCCCTGCCTTGCCCTTGCTGTGTTTGGTAGGAGGGAGGGGATGCAGTGGTTTGCAGGGGTTGCAGGACTGGATGGCCCTGAGCAGGTTTGGAACCTCCAGCTCACTGTGATGTGCTGCAGAGGAACCAGAACAGGTTTGGAGACAGTGACCAGTGACTTGTTTCTGTGTCAGCCCCAAGCCCCAGCACCAGTGAGTCACCTGCTGGGTGTATGTGGGATCTCCAGATGCAAAGACCCAAGTGGATTCCAGGCTAGAGAGATCCGTGTGGATCCGAGTGGATGGGTGCTGCTCATCCCACTCCCGCTGAGCTGAACAGGCAGCTGAGTGGGCTCCTCTGTCTGCCACACTGAGAGCTTCCAGCAACACTGGATCTGCTCCAGCACCCAGGCAAAGAGCTGGGCACAGTGAATCCCTCCAGGTTAGGTGGGAATGTGGGTCTGCTGGAGGCTCTGGCCAGGCTGGATCCATGGGATGGGGCCAATGGGATGAGGTGCAACCAGGCTCAGTGCTGGGTCCTGCATCTGAGGCACAACAACCCCATGGAACGCTCCAGGCTCGGGGAAGAGCAGCTGGAAACTGCTCATGGGAAAGGACCTGCATTAATGGAGCTGAACATGAGCAGCTTGTGCCCAGGCAGGCAGGAAGCCCCCAGCATCCTGGCCTGTATCATAGAATCATAGCATAGTTAGGGTTGGAAAAGACCTTAAGATCATCCAGTTCCAGCCCCCCTGCCATGGGCAGGGACACCTCACACTAAACCATGGCACCCAAGGCTCTGTCCAACCTGGCCTTTAACACTGCCAGGGATGGAGCATTCACAACCTCCCTGGGCAACCCATTCCAGTGCCTCAGCACCCTTACAGGAAAGAATTTCCTCCTTATATCAGCACCAGTGCAGCAGCAGGGCCAGGGCAGGGATTGTGCCCCTGCACTGGGCACTGGTGGGGCTCCACCTCGAATCCTGTGTTCAGCTCTGAGCCCCTCACTACAAGAGAGACCTTGAGGGGCTGGAGAGGGGCCAGAGAAGGGCACTGGAGCTGGTGCAGGGCCTGGAGCACAGGGGTGATGGGGAAGGGCTGAGGGACCTGGGGGGTTCAGTGTGGAGAAGAGAAGGCTCAGGGGGGACCTGATGGCTCCCTACAAGTGCCTGCCAGGAGGATGGAGCCAGGAGGGGCTGGGCTCTGCTCCCAAGGAACAAGGGATGGGACAAGAGGAACCGGCCTCAAGCTGCCCCAGGGCAGGTTTAGATGGAGCTGAGGAACAATTCCTGCCCCAGAGGGTGCTCAGGCATTGGAACAGGCTGCCCAGGGCAGGGCTGCAGGCACTGTCCCTGCAAGTGTTCACACAGTGTGGAGCCGAGGCCTCAGTGCCATGGGGCAGTGGTGGCCTTGGCAGTGCTGGGACCCCGCAGGGCCACCTGAGGTGAAGCCTGTATTTGGGGGCCCAGTGCACTCAGCCTGGTTGAGGTACCAGTACCAACACTGCTGCTCTGAAGCATCCTCCCAGGCAGTGCACGGACAACCCCTCAGTCACTGCCTCACAGCACTCCTGCTCCGTGCTGGTTTTCAGTGGATAAACCGGGAGCAGCCACAGGCTCCTGGTCAAAGGCGGGATACCCTGGGGAAGGAGGCGAGCAGAGGGCGCCGTACCTTTAGCTGGGGCTGAAGGGCGAACACACAGGAACATGAAGCGGAGCCATTGCCTTCAGTGTAGCTGTGAGGTGAACGGTGCTGGCACAGAGAAGCTGTGGCTGCCCCATCCCTGGCAGTGCTCAAGGCCAGGTTGGACACAGGGGCTTGGAGCAAGCTGCTCCAGTGGAAGGGGTCCCTGCCCGTGGCAGGGGTTGGGGCTGGAGGATCTCTGAGGATGCCCGTGACAGCCAGCAGCACAATAACGAGACAACAAGCAGCAGGATACCGCAGTAACACCACAAATCCCGGGCACAACGGAGGTAACGCGGCAGCCCCCCCTCAGCCCCCCGCCGCCATCATGGCGGCGCCTGTGTGGAGAGGAGCGCCTCGCACCGCGCATGGCGGCAAGCGCGGGGCAGCCCCTTGCGCATGCGCACACGCCACCCCTGAAGCCGGCGCAGGGCACCGTGCCCGCACCCGTCAGCGCCGGGAGGGGGGTGCTCAGTGCGCATGCGCCGTCCGTCACTCGCGTCCCCTCAGTGAGGGCCGCGGCGTCCCCCCTGCAGGCCGGGCCGGTGGCGGCGGAGGCAGCGGCCGGGAGGGAGCGAGCGAGCAGCGGAGGGAGCGAGGCCGATGGCGGCCCGGCTGCGCCCCGCCGGAGGTAGGGGCTCGGTGCCGGTCCCCGGTCACGCTGCGGTGCTGAGGGGACGCGCGTAATGGCGGCGGAGGGCGCCCGGGGCCGGCGCCTTCCCTCAGCCCCGCGGGCGGTGGGGAAGCGGGTTGGGGTCGTCCCGGTGCGGGGTTAGCAGCGGGCTGTTGTTGGCGGTGCGGCCCGAGCCTTGGCTCGTTGCGGTGTTAATGGGCTGATAAGGCGGCGTGTGTTTGCTCAATCTCGGCTTTTATGTGGTGGGGGAGATAAGGAAAGGCTGCTTGGGGCCTGCCCGCGCCCTGCCTCGGCCTGGCTGCGTCGCGGTGGGAGCTCAGGCTAATAAACACGTAAATGTACCACATTCCCCTAAACGCAGCTACTTGCTGGTGTGGAAATAGAGGTTTGGGGTTTAAAATCGGCTGTTGGACGCAGTTATAGTCACCTATGTCCGCTGTAAAGGTTCCTTTTCACCTCGGCATCCCTGAGGGGCTCCGGATGGGACTCATTTCCCGGCACCGCAGCTCATGGGTCGGGTTGAAGAGAGGGTTTCCCCATGTGTTGGCTTGGGAGATGGGCGTGATTGAGCTGAGATGGTCCAAGTGACTGAAACAGCACCAAGAATCCCTTGTCAAGGCTAAGGGTTTAGTGCTGGAGCATGATCCGGGTCGTGGTGGTCACCCATGGACCTCCTGTGTGTGATGTGACCTCTTACTGCAGCTCAGACACGTGCTGCTGTAGTGCATTGGCTCAGTTGTGGTGATTTTAACGCAGTAATGCAATGTGGGTTGGTAAGTTGTTAATGTTTTCTTTGTCTCTAGGCTTATTCAACAGTACTGAGCTACTTAAAACACATCGTGTCTGTTGAACCCTACTAAACAACCAAAAACCAACCCCAAACCTAACCGTCCCTCCTGGTTTCCAGCTCAGAACTGATGTGGAAACATGCGTTCACTTTTGGGTTGTGTTTGTCTCACTGGTATATGACTGTTCAGTAGGCATTTAAAAGGTTATATCTGTGATGTGAGGTCTTGAGGAGGGTGGATGTAACAGTGAGATCTTCAAGAGGGTGGATATAAGAGTGAGGTCATTATTTTCCCTATAAAAAAGACACTTTTCAGGCACAAGAAATATCTTTAATTGCATTTTTTTCCTCCATTTAAAAGAAATAAATCTGTTGGCAGCACAATTCCACTGAAGGGTGGAGGATGGAAGGAACTGCACTGAGTTTCATCTCCAACTTCTATGACAACTGATGCAGCTGAGGCCTGTTTATCCCAGGGTGGGGTTCCCCAGTGCTTCCAAGACTCGCTGCTCCCTGTTCCACACTGGATTCCTTCCCTTCCTGCTTCCCAAGTATCCTGCAGTTTGGGTTGGGGCTGAGCTGGTGTCAGTCCTCACCAGATGAGGAGCTGTATGAAACAGAACACTGGGAGCTTTTTGTTCAGTGGTTCACTTCTGAAGGTAAATAAAATGGTTTCTTCTTTGTTTGCCATCAAGTTAAATGTTCTGAATGGAGTTTGGGTGGTTTTAGGGAGTTTTAGGGGAAAATACTCCTATTTGCTTTGTCTGCGATGTGCTCAGAGGCGTGAGGGGTATAAATGTGCTTGTGAAACAGCAGACAGGATGTGGCCTGTTCTAGATGTGACGTGGGAAGTGAAAACGGAGGAAGGCCACTAGATTTCTGCTGTTGTCATGCCATGAAGGCACCAAAATGTCCTTTTGAACGTGCTAAAATGCCCTTTTTGGGCACTTTTTAGGACTGACTTGCTGAAAGATGCGTGATTTCTCTTTGTGGGCCTCTCTAACCCTGATGCATTGAACCCTGTGGATGCTAGAACAGAACAAAGGCTTTTTGGAGTGTCCCATGGAGGATGTGACCAAGGGTGGCTCTGCCTGGCATGGAGTTAGTGCTCTGTGGGCTTGGGGTGGTCACCACCAGCATCCTTGGCTCTTGCTGAGCAGGGCTTGCACAACCTCAGTTGTACCCTGAGAGTGGGCAGGAGGCTGGAAGGGTCCTCAGACCTGGACCAGCTAAAGGGATGTTCCATCCTGTTTGGGGGTGAGAACTGACATGGAGGAAGAAGCAAAAGGTGGCTTTGGCTTCTAAGGTGGTTGTTGCTTTGCTGGGCACTGGTTTGCCTGTGGGATAGGTCAGTAACAATCACTTTTGCTTTGCTGGAGTTGTTTTCTCCTGTTTCCTTCATGTACTGGATTGTCTTATCATGACCCATGTGTTTTCTTGCCTTTGTGCTCCCTTTCCCCCCTGTCCTGCTTGGCTGGGCAGTGGGCTGAGCTAATGGCTCTGTGGTCAGCACACCTTGGTCCTTGCTTTTCTTAGTGAGAGGGTTGTGATGGGACAGGTTTGGTTGCAGAGTGCCAGATTGAACTTACTCCTCTGAAGCAGCAGCTTTCAGCCTCTGCTGGGTTGTGTTCCCTGGGGAGCCTGTGATAAAAGTGGTGCTTTAAGCCTGCTCTGCTGTTTGGCATCTTCATTCCATAGCCCAGACCTCCAGGAACCACCCCGTGGAGACCATCAGCAACTACACTTTCCCCTGGGATTCACCTGCCAAGCCTGTTGTGATGGTTCCTCGGTGTCTCCAGCGTCCTGGAGTAACCAACAGTGTGAAACTGGGTTTGGTTTTGAGCCTCTGTAATGGTCACAAGTGTTCCTCTGCCACCGCACCCTGCACATGCTGCCACCTCATCCACACTCAGGTCTTGTGCCGTGTTGTCATCTGTCCTGTGCTTTCCAGGCCTGTGTTCCTCAAAGGAGCTGGATCTGAGGATGACACCCTGGCTAAACCAGTGACTCAGCGCAGGCATTTCCTGTTGAAGGCGGGTGTCCCCTCGGGCAGGGCCTGGTTGACTGGTGGAAGGTGAAGCACCTTGCCTGTCATCTGCAGGAAGTGATGGAGGTCAACAGCAACCTGCAGAGATCTGGGTAATGTCCAGCACCCAAAAAAGTCCCACTAGGAGGGGTCCTGCTCCGGAGCTGTCAAGTGATTCTCCATATGCAGCAGAAGTGCTGAGGATGCTTCTCCTCCTCCTTCAAATGAAGATCTGCTGTGGCAGGAATTGCATAAGGAATGTTCCAACCAGGAGTAGAAAGTGTTTGAGAAAGGAAGGGAGTAAATCATTCTAAAGGCTGGTTGTAAAGCAAAGCAAAGGGACTTGCAGAAGACATCCAGTTCTTTGGGCTGAAGTGGAAAGATGGACATCAGCACATCCCCGTGGATAGGGTCCATAATATCACATCCGTGTCCTCAGCAGCTGACAGTAAAGGAATTGCTGCTTCCCTGGTGTGTGGGTCTTTGAGGAATGTGAACTAGAAGCCTTGAGCAGTAAAACCCTGGGGAGACCTGAGGCCTTTGGGAATGCTTCAGTGGATTGTGTTGCTTTGTGGTGCTGGCTCCAGCTGGGAGGAAGCATTGGTGTAGGTAAGCACTGATGGGCTGGCTCTTGGTGGACAGGGCTTGGGCATCATCAGGGCTTTATCCCTGTGCCCCTAAGCAAGTGGAAGTATGGGTTGATGAGAAACTTACGTAGTTCAAGCAGGACAAGTGTCAGGTCTTGCCCCTTGATAAGCAGAATCCCAGAGTGCAGCACAGGCTGGGATATGCCTAGATGGGAGCAGCTGTGGAAAGGGATGTGGTGGACACAAGCTCCATAGGAGTGACCAGTGTGTGGCTGCAGCAATGAAAGCCAACAGGATGCTTGGGAGCATGAACAAGGGCATCACCAGCAGGGATGAAGATGCCATTGTCCCACTCTGCTCAGCACTGGTCAGGCCACACTGGGAATGCTGGGTTCAATTTTGGTCCCTGCTGTACAAAGATGTGGATGGGCTGGAGAGGGGCTGGAGAGGGGCTGGAGAAGGGCCACAAAGGTGATCCAAGGGCTGGGAAGTGTGTGAGGAAAGGCTGAGAGAGCTGGGACTGTTCAGCCTGGAGAAGAGAAGGCTCAGGGGAGACTTTGTCACCATGTGCCAGTGTTTAAAGGGTGGCTGCAAAGAACACGGAGACTCCCTCTGTACAAGGAGTCCCATGGGAAAGCCAAGGGGTGACGGGCGCAAGTTACTGCTGGGGAGATTCCAACTGGACACAAGAGGAAAATCTTTCCTACTGGGAACAGCCAGAGATGGAATAATCTCCGCAGGGAAGTGGTGACTCCCCAGCGTTGGACACTTAAGACTGGGCTGCACAGGGTGCTGGGCCATCCATCATGTTGGCCAAGAAAGGTTGGACCAGATGATCCTTCAGGTCATTTCCACTGGGATTCATGGATTTTGGGATGCAAACAGGTTGGGATGCAGGAGCCTGGGAGGGGGCTGCCCAGAGAGCTTGGTTCTGCCTAATGTGGTGCTTGGCAACAGAACCTGGGCTAGAGGAGCAGCAGCAGCGTGGGTTTGACTTCCAAGGCCTTGGCTTTTGAGCCTGGTTGAGCATCCCCATGCTGTGGGAGGAGGTCGGTGCTTGTCCTTGCCTTGCTCGTGGTTGCTTCATGCTCTTACGTGGGAGTGGTTGAAGGAGCTGTTGTAACTGTCTTTAGGTTAAACTCTGTGTTTTCCTGCTCTTCCTTGTCTCTCCCTGTCTGGCAACACAGAGGAGCGAGCAGGGGCTGTGTGAATGCTCCATCAGCCACCACATGGATGCAGATCCTGGTTTATTACACCTGGGAAGCTCCTGGTAATTTTTCTTGGTGCTTTCCTCTTTGGGACAGAGGAATGGTTTCTGTCTGTGTCTCACTCAGGCTTGATAACATTAGCACAGAGCTGCTCATTTGGTGCATGAGGTGTGTGGAAATCACTTCACAGATGCTTGTACCCAGAGCCTGGGCACTGACAGCAAGTCCAGCTGGGTGCAAGGAGGGTGAGCATTGAGTTTTGTAGCCAGGCACTGATCCACATGTGATTTAACAGCCTCCTTCTACCAGGGGTCTGCTGCAGCTCCAGGAATCTCTTTCTTGCTTTTGCCTAAGAGGAAAATCAGCAGGAGTGAGTTCCAGGCAGCACTTGAGCTCCCTGCGGTCCTGGTTTTGAATCTGCTCTGTTGATGTCCTGGTTTTACCTGGGACAGAGTTAATGTTGTCCCCAGTCACCAGTGCAGGGCTGTGGTTTGGCTCCAGTCTGACAGTAACGTTGATAACAGTGAGTCAGAGCAAGGCCACGAGCTGCTGCGAGGGCTGGAGCAGCTCTGCTCTGGAGCCAGGCTGAGAGAACTGGGCTGGGGCAGCCTGGAGAAGAGAAGGCTCCTGAAGGGGAGACCTGAGAGCAGCTCCAGTGCCTGAAGGGGCTTCAGGAAAGCTGGAGAGGGGCTGGGGACAAGGGATGTAGGGACAGGCCAAGGGGAATGGCTTTAACCTGCCCGAGAGGAGACTGAGATGAGCTCTTGGGCAGAAGCTCTTCCCTGTGAGGGTGCTGAGGCGCTGGCACAGGGTGCCCAGAGAAGCTGTGGCTGCCCCATCCCTGGCAGTGCTCAGGGCCAGGTTGGACACAGGGCTTGGAGCAAGCTGCTCCAGTGGAAGGGGTCCCTGCCCGTGGCAGGGGTTGGAGCTGGAGGAGCGTTAAGGCCCCTTCCACCCCAAACCAGTCTGGGATTCCATGATTCTGGGTTCCCAGTGTGCTAGACTGAAATGCAGGCTGAATGCTCTGTGATTAGCACATGGCCTCAAAATTCAGTGCCATTTCTAGGCTCAAGCCAGCAGAAAATGGTCCTTTCAGTGGCCGTGCCAGACTCTCTGCAGATAAAGGCTTCCCTTGTGACTGCGGAAGCAGCTTCCGCATTCCCACCAGCTCTGTGTGCCAAACCTGGGCCTTAAGCCCCATTTTGTGTGTTTTTAACTGATTTCCCTATTACTCTGCTGACGTGGAGGTGCTGCTGATAGACAAGCACTGAGCTGGCCTCGGGATGGAGGTGCCTGTTTCTTTCCCCTTCACCACTAAGAACTCGCTGCTGTTGCAGGTCAGAGCTGCGTTTCCTCTCTCTCCTTGCAGAACTTCTTGTGTTTGCTTCAGCTCTGCTGCCTGTGACTGTCACATCCGGGACTCCCAGGAGCGAGGAGCTTTCAACTTCTGTTTCTTGGCCTTGCTGCTCCCTGACACAGCTCCTCAGTGCTGTCAGCTTGTGTCGTGGTTGTAACTCGGGACCACACAGCCGCTGGCTCACCCCCCCCAGTCTCCCAGAGGGATGAGGAGGAGAATGGAAAGAACGTAACCCCCACGTGTTGAGATCAGAACAGCCCAGTAACTAAGGTATAACACAAACCACTGCTGCTACCACCAATAATAATAATAATGATAAGGGAAATAACAAGGGAAGAGAATACAACCGCTTGCCACCTGCCAACCGATACCCAGCCCGACCCGAGCAGTGATCTAACCCTTCCGGGTAACTGCCCCCAGTTTATATCCTGGGCATGACGTGCTGTGGTATGGAATACCCCTTTGGTCAGTTTGGGTCAGGTGTCCTGTCTCTGCTTCCTCCTGGCTTCCCCTCCTCCCTGGCAGAGCACAAGGCTCACAAAGTCCTTGGTCAGGCTAAACGTTACTGAGCAGCAGCTAAAACCATCGGTGTTATCAGCACTGTTCCCAGACTGAAAGTCAAAACCACAGCACTGCACCAGCTACTAAGGAGGAGAAAAAAATGACTGCTGCTGCTGAACCCAGGAGAGCATCCTGTCACCATCCGTCAACACCTCCTCCTTGTGTTCTGTACTCTTCAGGGTTCTTTTTTTACCATTCTCAGTTGGGTTTTCTCCCATTGAATCCTTGAGCAGCAAATGGCACATCCCTGCTCATCATCCTCCCACCCCTGCCCTGGGTTTAACTCTGCAGCCTCCACAGCTGTTCCCTGCAGCTCTTGCTGTTCCATAGCAGCCTAGCTGTGGAACACGGTTATGTTGGATCCTTCAGCTACAGGCAGCTGGGCCCCTGGGAAGGGAGGATTAAAAGTCAGGTTAAAACTTAAAAAGGGGAAGTTCAGGTTGGATATAAGGAGGGAATTATTTCCTGTGAGGGTGGTGAGGCACTGGAATGGGTTGCCCAGGGAAGTTGTGAATGCTCCATCCCTGGTGGTGTTCAAGGCCAGGTTGGACGAGGCCTTGGGTGATATGATTTAGTGTTAGGTGTCCCTGCCCACGGCAGGGGGGGTGGAACTAGATGATCTTAAGGTCCTTTCCAACCCTAATGATTCTATGATTCTAGGATGGTTAAAAGGAGAGGGTGAAAGCGTATTCCAGCTGTATCCTTAAACCAGGGAATGAGCAGCACCATCCTGTACTCCCAGTGTGAGTAGATGCAGTTGTTGGGGCTTTCCAGTGTGTGAGCAGGTGCCAGAACTTTTCATTTCATAGAACCATCACAGAGTGGTTTTGGTTGAAGGCACCTTAAAGCTGATCCAGCTCCAGCCCTCTTGTTCTGTCCTTACAGGCCCTTGTCCCAAGCTCCTCTCCAGCTTTCCTGCAGCCCCTTCAGGCACTGGAGCTGCTCTCAGGTGTCCCCTTCAGGAGCCTTCTCTTGTCCAGGCTGCCCCAGCCCAGCTCTCTCAGCCTGGCTCCAGAGCAGAGCTGCTCCAGCCCTTGCAGCAGCTCCATGGCCTCACTCAAACAGCTCCACATCCTTCTTTATCCATCTCTATTGGGAAGCTTGGGAAAACAGACTGATGGAGTTGAAGGGAAGCAACAAGTGCATTGTTTGGCCTTTCTGGGATCCTCTGAAGGTTCAAGACTGCTGTTTCCAGAGGTGGTGTCAGCACAGCCCTGTCTGGGAATTCCCTGGTTTTCATTCTCATCCAATGAAGCATCAGCAAGTGCTGGGTCCCTGCTGCAGGAGGAGGCAGCTTCAGTGCAGCAGGAAGAGCAGCTTGAAGGATCCCAGGCCCACCCCAAACAAAGCCTCTGCTGAAGAGGAAGGCGAGAGCCTGGCCTGGAACATCCCGAGCATTGTTCCCCTTTCAGGTGTCACTTCCAGCCTTTCTTCTGCAAAGGTCAGCCCTGAGCTGGTGAAGGCTTCACGGGATGGATGTCAGGAGAGTACTGAGATCACACAACTTCCATGGGGATTCATGCAGTTTGGTCTCTGTTTCCTGTGACTTCAGATGCAGTTGGGGCCAGGCTAGGAGGAAACTAAAGCCTTAGATACGCTCAGTACATTTGTGTTGTGGTGGGGCTGAGTGAAGTCCTCAGGGTTTCACTGCTGATGGGTTTGGAATTGTGAAGGCCTGTACAGTGCAGGGTGGGTGCCTTAAGACCTTCTCCTCAAGGCTGCTTTGTACTTGTGTTTGGAATTCCTGCAGGATCCAGCCTTTTGTTCATAGAAATCACAAATCTGTCTTAGGGATTTCTTCAGTTATTAATACTGATAGAGGTCCTACACCTTTAGCTTGAGAGGAATTCTTGTTCTCAGTTCTCCTGATCCAGGAGGGTGGTTTGAAACACTGGTGCCGCGTCTCTGCCGCATTCAACTGGAGAGATTGGGTTTGGTGTGTGTCTAACAACATTGCAGTGCCTGAGCAGGTGGCTCTGGTGGTCCTGTTGCTTCTGAGGCTTGTGGCCTCAGGACTTAGGAGAAAGTACATGAACCTGCAGCAATGTCTGTAGCATCAGTTGTTAGTTACTGGTGGGTACAGGAGGTTGGAGCTCTGTTCTCCTGAGTAAGGCTGTTTTATGGCTTTAGTATCAAAAATAGATGGTTTTGAGTCTTTATGGTGTCTTGTGGCTGAGCCTGTTGTGGTTTAAGCCCAGGCAGCTGCTGAGCCCCACTCAAGCCACTCATTCATTCCTGCTTGGTGGGATGGGGAGAGAATGGAAAGGGTTAAAGTGGGAAAACACATGGGTTGGGATAAAGCCAGTGTAAGAGGTAAAGCAGAACAAGGAATTCATTCACCACAGCCATGGTCAGGTGGGTGTTGAGCCATCCCCAGGGCAGCAGGGCTTAGTGGTGACTTGGGAAGAAAAACCACTCCAAGGATCCTCCCTTTCCTCCTTCTTCACCCAGCTTTGCATGCTGAGCATGATACCCCATGGTCTGGGGTATCCCCTGGTCACTTGGGTGTCCTGATTGTGTCCCCCCAGAATCCTTGTGGTTCCAGAGAGAAGAGATGAGGGGCAGTGAAGGCCTTGACTGTGTGTAGGCACAGCGCAGCGATAAGGAAAACATCTCTGTTATCAACACGGTTTCCAGCCCAGCTCCAGAGCTGCTGCTGTGGAGGAAGTTAACTCTGCCCCAGCCAAACCAGCACAAAGGAGGGAAGAAGTTATGGAATCAGAGACTGGTTTGTTTTGGGAGGGACCTTAAAGCTCCTCCAACTCCAACCCCTGCCACGGGCAGGGACCCCTTCCACTGGAGCAGCTTGCTCCAAGTCCCTGTGTCCAACCTGGCCTTGAGCACTGCCAGGGATGGGGCAGCCACAGCTTCTCTGGGCACCCTGTGCCGGTGTCCCAGCACTGAAAAGCAAGATTAATTCAATCTGTTTTACTTCTAGATAGATGATTCCTGTAGCACACACTGGGGCGATGTGGCGATATTCCCTGTTGAACGTGATCATGTTCCTTAGGAGTCTGAGGGAGCAATAGCTTTAAAAATCACTGAGCCAGCAAACAGCTCATTGTGGTGCTGTGATCCAGGCTGAACAAGCAAGGTTCTGGGGGGATCTTCTCCCTGCTGACTCCTGGATCCCCATCTCTGTGGAGGCTGATGGTGTGTGACCTCTGATAGGAGGTTTGTAGAAGCAGGTGGCTTCATTCTAGAACCATGGCATGGTTTGGGGTGGAAGGGACCTTAAAGTTCATCCAGTTCCAGCCCCTTGCCACCTAATTCTGCTGTTCTCTGGAGCTCTCCTCTCTGGAGGGCAAAAGAGCCTCTCAGCATGTTCATTTGGGGAGTAGCTGGAGAGAGAACAGCATCAAAGCCACGGGGAGCAAGTATGAACATACCTATAGAGCTCATTTTAAACCAAACGTGCTGGTTTGGAACTGAACCTCAGCTCAGTGGATTAGGAATCTCCCAGGGATGTGCTCTGGATCAAACCCCAACTGCCCTAGGGAGAACTTTTATGATTCAGTTAAATCTCCAGGCAGCATGAACCCTTCTGCACCAGTGCTGTGACCAGGTACGTGCCACAGCAGCATCCTGAACCACTTCCATAAGGCTTGGAGCAAGCTGCTCTAGTGGAAGGTGTCCCTGCCCGTGGCAGGGGTTGGGATTGGAGGAGCTTTAAGGTCCCTTCCAACACAAAGCAAGCTGGGATTCTGTGGTTCTTGGGGTGCTCTGATGGTGCTGGTTCCAGCTGGGATGGAGTTAATTCTCCCTGCTCACTGCTCCAAGGCTGTTTTGGCTTCGCTCTGAGAACAATGCTGATAACGCCCCGGTGTTCAGTTGTAGCTCAGCAGCACTTGCCCTGATCAAGGACTGCTCAGCCTCGTGCTCAGTGAAGGGGCACAAGAAGCCGGGAGGGAGCAGAGACAGGAGACCTGAACCCCAACCAGACCAAGAGATATTCCTGACCATCCCATCCCATCCCACAGCACGTCAGGCTCAGGAGAGGAACTGGGGGAATTGGCTGGGAGCCCTCGATCGCTGCTGGGGCTGGGCCAGGCAGTGCTCAGCGGTGGTGAGAACTGTGTCCATCTCCTGTCCCTCTTGGGCTTTATTCCTCTCTTTCTTTTTCCCTTTTCTTTACTGTTACTATTTTTGACTTTATTTCCATTATCAACCTGTTCTTATCCCTCTGGTGGGTTTTCCCTCTCCCAAAGCTCCTCCTCATCCCTCCGGCAGGGCCGTGCGAGACTGGGGCTGCCTGGTTCTTCATTGCTGCAGTGTTGAACCCTGCAGGAGTGCGGGGGGGGATGAGGCCTTTGCTCTGTGTGTGTGTCCTGGGTTCAGCTGTAGCAGTCACTTTTCTCCTTTCCTGTAGCTGGTGCAGGGCTGTGTTTGGGCTTTAGTCTGTGAGAAGCGCTGATAACACAGCGATGGTTTCGTTCTTGCTAAGTAATGCTTACCCTGATCAAGGTCTTTCCAGTCTCATGCTCTGCCAGTGAGGAGGGGCAGAAGAAGCTGGGAGGGAGCAGAGAAAGGACACCTGACCCATCCTAGCCAAAGGGGTATTCCATCCCACAGCACGTCATGTCCAGTAAGTGAACTGGGGGGAGCCACCCAAAAGGGCAGATTGCTGCTGGGTCGGGCTGGGTTTCGGTTGGCGGCTGCTGAGCAATTGCATTGGCCATCACTGCTGGTTAGTGTTTTATTTCCTTCCCCTTTTAGTCTTACATTCTCTGCCCTTATTATTTCCCTTAGTAGTAGTCGTTTTGTGTTATACTTTAGTTATTGGACTGCTCTGATCTCAACCCATGGGATTTACATCCCTTCCATTCTCCTCCCCGTTCCGCTGGGAGTGGGGGGGAAAGGGAGGCAGTGAGCGATTGGCTGCCGGTGCCGAGTTCCCGGTTGGGGTTCAACCACAGCAGTGTCCTACAGGAACATCCCCAGGACTGTGCTATTTACCCACTTTGTCTCATTCTGCCTCTATTCGTACGTTCTCTTACTGCTTTACAGGCTGGAGTTCTCGGTGGTGTCAGCCGAAATCAGAGGTTCCAGTTCCCGTTCCCATTGTGCTTTTTATGCTCGTTCGTAGGTGGTTGCAGTTTCGGTCTGATCTTACCCCTTTCTGTTTAAAGCTGTTTCAAGATGAGAACTTGCCTTTAACATCTGGGACGCAGAAAGTTTCTAACTGCAGGATTCAAATACTGCCACAGCCTCTGAATGCTTTTGGGGTGCAGCAGTGTCCTCCTGAAGCTGGTTCTGGCCTCACCCCAACCCCACAGCGACTTCACATGGAGTTGTAACCACTTTGAATTCTCTGCCTATTGCTGTCACAATTCACACCTCATAAATACCCGCAGAGAGGTTTGATGCTTTGGTTTATTGCTCATAACACAGCTCTAATTGTAACTGAATCCAAACTGTGTTGTCATAAAGATCTGAAGTGTTTGCATTGTCATCACTGGGAATGTTGTCTGTGACGCTGAACTCCTTGGGTAAAGCTCATTTAATCGTGTTCTCTCTTCACTGCGTATTAAGATCCTATGCAGTGAACGCAAATGTTGTTCAAGCTCCCAACTCCCATTTAAACTGTGCTTCCACTCCTGTCTGGTGGCTCCAGTTGTTGTTTTCTCCCCGGTTCTAGAAGGCGCTGTGTAAGGGAGGTGTAAAGATCCCCTAATCTAATCCTTGTCTTTTAACTTTCAGCTTTGTGTTGTTCTTGGAAAGTTTCGCACCACTTGTGAATTCCTTGAACCTTGGCATTGGGAGCCCACTTGTGTTGGGCCCTCCTCCTTTACAGCTTGCTCACATTAAGACCCACTTGGCTCTTCAGCAATTGACCTCAGTTGCTCCCAACCCTTCGGCACCTCCTTATGCTTGGTTAAACCAGGCAGTTCCGAAAAGCACCATGTTTAGCCCCAGAGGAACTTTACCTCAGAGGCCGAGAGGACCTAATCCATCTGGGAAAAAGCCTCCGGGATCCCTCCGGGGAGGAGGTGCCGCAGGTCACCCCCGGAAGCCCGCTCCTGGAGCGCCGCAAGGGACGGGAACGCCGCCGAGATTCTCGGGACAGGAAACGCTTCAGTGGACGGGATCGCAGAGGATCAACGTCCGGGTAACCCTGCACAGGGCTGATCCGAGGAAGGTGAAGGAGAAGACAAACCTGCACCAGGAGCAGAAGGCAGAGCCCCGCACAAGCCGCTGGGAGAACCCCGCCTGCTCAGCCAGGAGAACGGGACAGAAGGCACCGGCCGCCGCACAGGTCTCGGAGCACAATTCCAATGCCCAAACCCGCTACACACCCGAGAGCGCCTCCAGCATCCTGGCGAGTTTCGGGCTCTCTAATGAAGACCTGGAGGAGCTCAGCCGCTATCCCGACGATCAGTTAACTCCCGAGAACATGCCACGGATCCTGAGGGAAATCCGGGTTCGTAAGATGAGTCCCTCCATGCCCGGGTTGCGCGCGCAGAGCCGAGGGGAAGACGCGGTTGGTGTCAAGAGTAAAGTGATTGATTATGGCCATGCCAGTAAATACGGTTACATCGAGGATCCTCTCGATGTGCGTGCGTTCAATCCCGAAGTGCTCCCTGAAGATCCCCTGGAAGCACGTGTCTATAATCCCGAAGCATCGAGCGGAGAGAACCGGGAAGACTTCCCCCGAGAGCAGAACATGCCGCAGAGCGCGCCCATGGGCATCCCGCCGGCCAACGTGATGTGTAACCAGGTGTTCCCGGTTGAAGATTTAATAAAGCTGACGGGATTCCAGAACGAGCCCTCAAATCCTCGCTCCTTTTTTCCAGCTGAGACCGCGGGAAAGGTGCCCGGGTTGTGCCCGCCACCCGCCGGGCTCCCCGTGGTGAAACCTGTATCCCAGCCTGCCATCCCGCCGGTCATGCCGCCCATGATGCCACCTCTGATGCCGCCCATGGCTCAGCCCATGATGCAGCCGGTGATGCCTCCCATGGTGCAGCAGACCATCCCGCAGCACGTGATGCCACCCATGACCCAGCCACCCTTCTCTCCTGAGCTCCTCGCAGCCATCAGCCGGCATGAAAGAACCCAGCACGACCCCGGGACAAGCTCATCCAGTGCCCAGAGCAGCTCAGGAGTGGGACAAAAGCCTTTCCAGGCACAGCTCGAGGGGCCTATTAAGTCTCCTTTTGGGATTGTGAAGGCTTCGTGGCTCCCGGTGTTCCCGCAGTCTGATTCCCAGAAGATAAAAAGGTTGCCCACTCCATCAATGATGAATGACTACTATGCCACATCTCCGAGAATATTCCCACATATGTGTTCTCTGTGTAACGTTGAATGCACTCATATGAAGGTGAGTGGCTTTCACAGATTCTTGCCTAAACTTGTACTCGCCATCTTCCCTGCTGCCCTGTTGTAGGCACTAATGTTCTCCCTGTGCGGTGTGTGAGTTGTGGGGCTACTCTTCTCCCCTTGGAGTAGTCCCACACGCTCCGAAGCGCTGCTGGGAGGTCATTGTAAGCCGCTCGGTTCCGAATGGCATCTCTGAGTTGCCGTGACCGTTGAGTTTCTAAACCATTTCTCACTTATCTGTGGCTTCTGTTGTGGGTTTCGAATGCCAACCCCTGTTCTCAGTGGAGGAAAGCACTAACGCCAGTGGGGTGAGTAAAATGTGTGTATCCAAAGGGGTAGTTGAGATGTTGTGTGTTCCCCAACCCTTGCAAAACAAAGCAGCCCATTCATCTGCCAGAGTGGGAGCTCCAGATGTGCTCTGTGGGCCAGGGACTGCTCCAGAGGCTGCAGATCAGCTCTGAGGGACACACAAACCGCTCTCATTCAGCTGAGCCTTCAGCTCTGAAGCAAATAACGCTTCCAGCTCCCGAAGGAAGAAAAGGAACTGGTGAATACTGGGAGAGAGCAAAGCCTTCGGAAAGCTGTGGATTGATCTGGAAGCTTTAGGCTTGGTCTGTCACAGAGCAAACTCAAGCGTTCAGTTTTAGTTTGATGTTAGAGGTATGAAGAAGCCTTCAACAAGCCTGGGGAAGGCTGAAGGGGTTTATGTGCAGGATTCCTTGGCCTGGTTTGTGCTGTGTGTTAAAACCAGGGTGAGCAGTTGAGATGGTGCCAGAGCTTTGGAGTAAAGTGGAGGTTTTAAGTGGTTCTGCACCTGAAGGCTGAGCTGGGCAGGTCTGGGACAACTGAGCAGGGTGGTACATGTGAGGTAATAAACAAAAAGCACTGTGGGGCCGTGTCATCCACAGGGATGTGGGTTATTCTGCAGGATGCTCACAGGGCTTTTACACATGTAGTGAATGTTGTTACTAAAAGCACTGAGGAATCAGCGGTGATGTTTGCTGGGGAGATTCAAGGTTGTCCCTTGTCCTGAGGGCTCCAAGCACAGTCCATGTTCTCCAGAGCCTTCCCTCCCTGTTGTGCTGCTCCTGCCTTGGGTGTGTGTTACTTTGTGTAGTATCTTTTGTACAGAGCTGCTGCTGTGTGGGCAGCTCCGTCTGGTTTGAGCCCATGGGAAAAGCCCTGTTTAGACAACAGCATTGCCAAATAACCACGTGAGTGAGTTGGTTTCTTTTCCTTGCTGCAGAAAATAAAAGCTTGCACAAGAAACGCTACCCTGGTGTATTTGTGAACTCCAAAGCGTGAAGAATTCCTCCTCTTTCAGCTTTACCATTGGGTTTCCAAATGGAGTTGTCTTTGTCCCAGTTCTCGTGGTTAGAGGGGACCCAGATGTTCAGTTGTGCGAAGCGTTAGGGAGGAAGCATGTGCAACCTTCAGACTGGAAGTAATGGGAGATGGAACAGCAGGAATAGGTGTGTGTGGTGTGACCTGCACTGGAGGTGGTTGTTGCAGAGGTAACGTTTGCTGCAGTGCTGTGAAATGTTGGCTGAAAAATGACGAGTTGATGGAAGAAGATGCTCCAGAAATCCTGCAGAGAGAGGCACGGTGGGCAGCAAGCTGGAGGTGTGCTCTGGGGAAGCAGCTCTGTGGTGCTGGGCTCCTCTCTGCCATGGGAGAGGAGGTGCTGGGTGAGCTGGATGGACCTTTGGTCTGCCCAGCACGGCTGCAGGTGGACTGGAGCCTCAGAGGGGTTTTTAGGCTGAAGTGATTGGATGTGATTTCTGGTGTGTAGTAGCAAGGCGATTGACGTTATCCCACGTGACATCCGTGTGTGTGAACTGGAGAGACGTGGATTTGATGGATAAAGCACCCCATGGATAAGGAATTGGCTGGAGGGTCGTGCTCAAAGAATTGTGGTCAACAGCTCAAGGTCCAGGCAGAGGCTGGTGATGACTCAGGGGTGATGTTGGGACTGGTGCTGTTCAACATCTGTCAGGGATGTGGGCACTGGGATGGAGCACAAGAGGGACGTGGAGCTGTTGGAGTGAGGCCAGAGGAGGCTGTGGAGATGCTGGAGCAGCTCTGCTCTGGAGCCAGGCTGAGAGAGCTGGGCTGGGGCAGCCTGGACAAGAGAAGGCTCCTGAAGGGGAGACCTGAGAGCAGCTCCAGTGCCTAAAGGGGCTGCAGGAAAGCTGGAGAGGGGCTTGGGACAAGGGATGTAGGGACAGGCCAAGGGGAATGGCTTTAACCTGCCCGAGGGGAGACTGAGATGAGCTCTTAGGCAGAAGCTCTTCCCTGGGAGGGTGCTGAGGCGCTGGCACAGGGTGCCCAGAGAAGCTGTGGCTGCCCCATCCCTGGCAGTGTTCAAGGCCAGGTTGGACACAGGTTGGAGCAAGCTGCTCCAGTGGAAGGGGTCCCTGCCTGTGGCAGGGGCTGGGACTGGATGAGCTTTAAGGTCCCTTCCTTCGTGTAACAGCAGGTTACCAGTGCTGTGCTGTGAGCAGATGTCTTTGGAACATGGCAGACTGGAAAGGAAACAGGGAAGCAGAGTGGATAACATGAGACAAGAATGGATGATGATGAAGGATGCTGAATGAAGAAAAACTGCTCTTTAATCAATGCTTGAAGATCCTGGATATCTGAAAACCAGAGTTTCAGCAAGCTGTCTTTTGTCATAGACTTAATCCAGCCTTGTACCAAGGTGCCAACTCTTCTGGGATTTGTGTCCTGGCTGTGGCTGAAGCTGCTTTGCCAACTGGAAGAGAATTGAAGTGTGTTCTAGCGTTGGGACATGAAAAGGTCAGGATTCCAGCTGGATGTGGGACCCAGCTCATGGTCCTGAGCAATCAGCTGCCTCTGGAGCTGCAGTGACTGTCAGTTGCTGAAACTGCATCATCTGCCCTGTCTCCTCAGCCTGGATCTCTCATCGGTGTGGTGAAACACTGGCTTGGAGTGAAGAATGCTCCTGCTGTTCCCCAGGGCATCCCTTCAGCTCTCCCTGCAGGTCCCTCTGAAGTACTCAGGTTGCTGGATTAATGAGGTCTGATGGAATGCCAGCTGAGAAAGCCCTTGAGATACCTGCAGTATTCCTAAATCAGAGCTCTTAGTGTCATATGGAGGAGCAAGTAAACGTATTCCATTTGTGATCTCGGAAGGGTTCTGAAGGTCTCTCCTACAGAACCATTTGCATACACTGGAAGGTGGTGTTTTGCTGTTACACTGGTCAGAAGCTACAGGATTTCTCATCTCTGTGGCCTGATGTTGTCCATGGAAAAGACCTCATTTCATTCAACTTTGGCCCTTTGCTGACAGGCCTGTGGCTGTTCCTGTGTGCAGTGACACGCTGCAGGCCAGCAGCTCCAACAGGCCGCTTCCATGTCCAAAACACGGGTTTATAGTAAAGGGACGGGGCTTGGAGCAAGCTGCTCCAGTGGAAGGTGTCCCTGCCTGGGGCAGGTGATGGAACTGGAGGAGCTTCAAGCTCCCTTCCAACTCAGACCAGTCTGGGGTTCTAAATGGTGGTTGCCATGGACTGGAGGTCTCATTGGTGCTGTTGGAGCAGTGTTACGGAATGTGAAAGGTTTGTGCTTCTACCTTGTGTTGGAAAGGTTTGTTGGAGGTGGCTGGTTGCAGTATTGTGTTGTAGGTGGAGGTAGGTGGGCTTTTGAGCTCTACAAAGTGAATGTGGAAACTTAATGGCTGCTGAGGGGGCTTTTTGATCCAGGAGGTGTCTTCAGACACCTGTGCATGCACGTCCTGCAGTGTATCTTTAGGGGGTAGCACCCAGTTTTGCCCCTGGTTGGATGGAATCTCACCCTGGTGTGGTCTCCTTCGAGTTTATTTCCACCCCCCCAATGTACTGGGGGATTCTATGGATACTTCACAGAACAGCTTCATTTCCACTTGAAATTGTGGCTTTACTGGGATAATGGATTCCTGTGTCTTCAACCGTGTGTCTCTTTGGGAATCAAGTGGGTTTGCAGTACTGTCACCCTGAGGGATCAGACTTGCAGTGTATGACAAGTTCTGTTTTCTAGCTTGAGTGGATTTACAGTGAGGGTCATCCTTGGGCTTTCACTTGTGTGAAGTCTTGGAGACTCGGTGTTTTCCGTGGCAAATTGCACTTGGATTCCTTTGCTGAGGGGGACAGCATGAGGTCTACTCCATTTTACTCCTGCTTGTTACACACAAACCCAGCACAGACAAGTGCTGGGTGCTGTCCTGGTGTCCTGTTATTGTCCTGTTGGCAGAAGAGGTGAGTTGGTGACTGTAGACACCTTGGTGGTGATCCATGAGTAACAAGAGGTTTGCCATTGGAATTGGCCAACGCGGCGATGGAGGAGCTCATCCCAGTGGGTCCGGCCATGGAGCAGCAGTGCTGCTGCTGGGAGGTCTCGTCTCTCCTTGGAATGTGATGGGAGATCCTCTCCTTGTGCCTGGGAGAGGATGGTCTCCGTTGGGGAGAAGGATCCATCCTTGGGGACAGAGTCCCCGGAGGGAATGGAGTATTCCTGAAGACTGGGAAGGACAAGGAGTTAATCCCGGAGGAGGAATGCGCGTGAATGGAGCCTCCTGTTGTACTAGGAAACCCAAGAGGACACTGGCATAATGGAGGCTTGAAGAAGAGAAGAATGTTGTGTTTGTGAGGGAGGAGAATGTCTCTTTGTATCCTGCTGGGCCCATTAACACTCCTTGGACCAGTGGCTGAAGACACTGGGAAGCAAAACGGGCTCTCCCAGCCCTGCTGGCGCTTCCATCACCGGGACCATGGAAGGGGATGCTCAAAGCCCAGTTCCCTTTTGTTTTAGCCCTTGGGCAATAGCCTTCCGTTTTCCTGCCTAACTTTAAGACTAGAAACCCAGCGTTCAACAACATTCCTCAGTAACACCAGTGTGTACCAGTGAATTCCTTTCTCTTCCCTTGCTGTATATTCATGGGACACACGGCTCCACAGCTTCAAGGTGTTTTATCAGCCTCTTCCACAACTCCTGACGTGCTTTGGTTCAACTAATGGGACTAACGCAGAGGGTCTTCCAAGGACTGTGTTACTGGAGCAGCTGGAATGTGCAGAATTCCATGAGCTCAGCTATAAAATCAGTCGGTGCCTTTCCGAGCTTGGTTTGATCATTGTTATCTGTGTCTTGAGGAAATCACAGTCAGTTTTGAGCTTAAACTGTGTTGTAGCTCTGGGTTTATAGGTGGAGTAAGGAAGGTTGAGGAGGTGTCTCTAGCACGTTGTAGGGTGTGGGGAACTGCTGCTTTCACCCCCGTGTGCTTCCAAACCACCCAAAACTAACCGTGTGCTGCTCACAGTAACTCATCCACCTCACAGGCTGTGAGTTAAACCATCACGAGCTTTGCTTCTAACCACAGGTTCAGCATTTGGAGCAACAAGCAGAGGGCTTGGTGCTGGCGTTCTGCCATCTCCTGTGTTGGAAACCAGCTTGTGCTTAGGAAGAGCAATAGGGAATGTCACAACCGCAGGTTATGTTGTGAAGCTTTGCTGTCAGCTGCATTATTCTGCCATCATTGCCTGTTTTGTATTTATTTATATGAATTTACATGCCTTTATTGGTTTTTATATTTATTTCAATGTATGTATTTGAAGTCTTCTATATTTCTATATGAATTTCGATGTGTTTATATGAATTTATTTCTATATAACCATTCTCTGATTTGTATGCTGAGGCACTGGCACAGGGTGCCCCAAGAAGCTGTGGCTGCCCCATCCCTGGCAGTGTTCAAGGCCAGGTTGGACGCAGGGGCTTGGAGCAAGCTGCTCCAGTGGAAGGGGTCCCTGCCTGCGGCAGGGGTTGGAGCTGGATCAGCTTTAAGGTCCCTTCCACCCCAAACCATCCTGGGATTCTAGAGCTGAAGGCATGCACAGTCATTCCTCTGTACAAACAGTGCTTAAAGATACCACCTGGTGTCAGGTTCTCTGATTTGTTCAGCTCATTTTGCTGTGTATGGGTTCACCAGCCTGCCAACCCATGGAGACCTCTAATAGTTGTCTGGCTGTTGGGTCACCCTCTTGTGTTACCGATGTGCTTACAACTCCCAGCGTGTCACTGGAAGTCACAGATTCATTTCACACGATGCACTTGGTTCCCCTTCCCCTTCGATTCCTTTGAGTTCTGCACCAGCTTTTGATAATCAAGCAGTATTTTAGTCCTTTGCCTGTAAGAGTGTTCATCCTAAGTGAGAAACCTGACTTTGACAGAAGATCAGTTGGAAGGTAGAACGTGATGGAAGGTAAAACGTGATGGAAGGTGAAATACCACAACATGTAACCACCAGCTGAGGTCCAGTGCCACCGCTTTATGTGCTAACCAAACCTCTCTGGATGTCTTCTCTCCACCTAGGACTGGATTCTCCATCAGAACACCCCTTCTCACATCGAGAGCTGCCGCCAGTTACGTCAACAGTAAGGAATCCCTTCCCAAAGTTCCCTTGGTGTTGGCTGTGCACACATGGTCTGGGGAAGCGCCTTGGCTTTCCTTATCCAAGTGCTATCCTGATCTTAGCCCATCAGGGTCAAAGCTGAACTGACACTGGGTGCTTCTGGAGTCCTGAATGGGAACATGGGTCTGTAAACTGCATGTAAGCACAGCCTTGTCTTGAGGGGCAGGTGGGGCTGCTTCACTGATGGTGTGTTCTTCATGTTTGACAGATACCCTGACTGGAACCCCGAGTCTCACTCTTCAAAGAGGTAACTGCATTTTGGTTACAGCTTCATTTGATGTGTTCCTGCTATAAATATGTTATTGATGTGGTTATTTTCTTGCTCTGCTATCTACAATGGTGTCATGTTTGGTTATGGAATTCTTTGGGGTGTTTCAGTGGGTTTTATCCTGAGTTCATTTAGATCTAAGGCAGAAACTTCACTATGAGGGTGCTGAGGCGCTGGCACAGGGTGCCCAGAGAAGCTGTGGCTGCCCCATCCCTGGCAGTGTTCAAGGCCAGGTTGGACACAGGGGCTTGGAGCAAGCTGCTCCAGTGGACGGGGTCCCTGCCCATGGCAGGGGTTGGGACTGGATGAGATATAAGGTCCCTTGAACCCAAACCATTCCTGATGCAATGATCCTGTTAGTAAGTGGCAAAACACCTGAAATTCCTCCACAAGGATGAGGATAAACTAAATCCTGAGCACTGATCCTGTTGGCAGCCTCACCTTGAAGCCTTTCTTCTCCCCATACTCAAGCCATAAGTGACAGAAGTGACCGATCGGGTCTGACCAGTCTCGGGTCACTGATTAAACCCTGATTCCAGACTTTTACACTTTTTTACACATCTCTTTTCCAGTCGAGCCACTCTTGTTTTCAACTGGAAACCTGTTTGAGGAGCCAGCGCTGGCTCTGCTTTCCCATCCTTTGCAGTGCACAGGTCCCTTGGGGAGCTGCGTGATCCCAAGCTGAGAAAACTGGAATCCATGAGCTCATCGTGGCTCTTCTGCCCTATAAAATGATGCCCTTTAGTATTCTGTGTTTTGAAACACACCCTGTGAGCTGATGCTGCTTAAATCTCAGCAAGATCTTGATCTTTAACCCATCCCTGGCAGTGTTCAAGGCCAGGTTGGACACAGGGGCTTGGAGCAAGCTGCTCCAGTGGAAGGGGTCCCTGCCCATGGCAGGGGTTGGAGCTGGAGGAGCTTTACGGTCCCTTCCAACCCATTCCATGGTTCTGTGATTCTAAGACTGGATCATTTTACTGCTTCAACATCTCTATGTATTCCAATGTGTGCCCTAATAGGAATGAGAGGACTGGGATTGTGCTGGCTTGTCCTGTGACTCTGCAGTAATCAGTTTGACATGAGTTCAAACCAAATTCATTTACAAAAGCAGTATTGCAAAGCTCAAGGGAAATGTGAGTCAGGTTTATTTGTGGGGTGCATCTGAGATCTCCCCATGTTACAAACAGGGAGAAATAAGACTTTAAAGAGAGAAATAGAGCAAATAAACTTCTCAGAAGAAGCAGCATATCTTAAACCCTCAAAGTGAAGTTGCTCTTCGGGGCTGGGGATGTCATGTAGAACCAGGCGAGGAAACTGCTCTTGGCTGGATCTACTGGGGAAGTGTTTCGTGTTGTGTGTGAGGGATCTCTGGGCTTGCTGATGGAGCCAGAGCTGCTCTGTAGGGTGGTGCTCTCTTCAGTCCTTGCCACTGACAGCACTGCTCCAGCTGGGAGGGTGAGGATGGAGCTGCAGGCTCATGGTGACCACACGTGTCCTGGGTAGGGTCACTGAGCTTCCTGTGTGCTGCTGCCTCCTTGGTGCATCACCTCGCAGGCTCTGCCTTCTATAAAGTGCCCTGGTGCGTTAATGCATCCATGTTTTTATTTGGCACAGGAATAATGGGATTTAAGGTCCTTTCCAACCCAAACCGTTCTATGATTCTAAAGTGTCTTATTTCATTACTCATCGTGGATCCTTTCCCTCTTCCCATTATTGCTTCACAGCACTGCAGCTTCTAACTTCAGTTCCCTTTGCTGTTTCTTACTTCTTTCTCTCCTATTTCCTTCTTTTCAGTTCTGTCCATCCTAAATTCCTCCGTTTTGTTCCGTGTAGGTTGTTCTCTCCTACTTGCTTCTTTTCAGTTCTGTGTATCCTAAATCCACGTAACAAACATGCTACCCCTATGTTTGATAACAAATGAGGCCCTAAACATTGCCAGTTTTGGTTCTGTATTTGCGCTAAAGCTCTTTGAACAGCAGCCTGGGGTTAACTCTTCTTTTCCACCTTGTCAAATCCCATCGGTGCCTGTGTTCCTTTAGGAATGCTGGTGACAGGAAAGAGAACCAGACGCCCAAGCGCCGCTCCAGCTCCTCCAGCCCCAGCCCCAGGCGCTCGCGGGCCTCCGGCTCCAGCTATGTTCCACGCCGATCCCGATCCCGGAGCTCCGGACGCTTCAGGTCAAGGCCCAGAAGCCGGAGCCCGCGGCAGATGCGGCGCCTCAGCCCCAGGCACAGATCCAGGTCCCCACAGCGCTCGAGAAACCCCCTGAGAACCAGCTCACGGCCCCAGAGATCTTCCAGCTATGACTGGTCATCGAGGAGGTCAAGCCGGTACCAGGGTAAGGGCCGGGTGCACACGGCCAGAGGGAAACTGCCTTTGATCCCAGCAAAACAGACACTGGTTCAAGTGTTCAAGGACCTGAAAGCTCTTCCAGTTCCATCCCCCTGCCACGGGCAGGGACACCTTCCACACCTTCCACTCACAGGGAAGAGCTTCTGCCTAAGAGCTCATCTCAGTCTCCCCTGTGGCAGGTTCAAGCCATTCCCCTTGGCCTGTCCCTACATCCCTTGTCCAAAGCCTCTCTCCAGGCTTCCTGTAGCCCCCTTTAGGTACTGGAGCTGCTCTAAGGTCTCCTCAGGCTGCTCCGTTCACTCTTCCCCAGCCTGTGTTTGTGCTGGGATTGTCCCCACCCATGTGCAGGACCTTGCCCTTGGCCTTGTTGAACTCCATGAGGTTCCACCTCTCCAGCGTGTCCGGGTCCCTCTGGATCCCATCCCTTCCCTCCAGCGTGTGGCTCACACCGCACAGCTCCGTGTCATCAGCAGCCTGCTGAGGGTTCTCATCCCCCTGTCCATGTCACTTGCAGAGATGCTGGACATCCCCAGTTCCTGCTGAGGAGCACCACTCCTCACTGGTCCTCTACTTGGTCCTTGAGCCATTGACCACAGCTCTCCGAGTGTAACCATCCAACCAATTCCTTGTCCACCGAGTGGTCCATCCATCAAATCCCTGCATCTCCAATTTATCTTACTGTAACTCGTCATCAACTTACTGTAAGTTCTCTTTTCAAAGCAAACCCACCAGGCTGGTGTCTCCCTTCTCCCACAGACAGAAAGGCAGCCCTGGAGGCGGTCATGAAAACTCTGGGGCCTGGCTTTGTAGCAGCATTCAATAAACATAAATCACTTCAAGCTGCTGGACAAGGATCTTCAGGATCAGGAAAGTCCTCAAGCTCTCAAGGACTCCTGGGGAAGGTGCCTGGAAGCCTGAAGAAGCTCCTGAAAGCAAGTGTTTCTTCAAAGGCCTCCAAAGATGGAGCTGGGTCAAGCTCTTCACCTGCTGAAGCTGATGATTTGCCCCAGAGTGAAGGGATGGAGGAGGGGGGGGAGGAAGGTTTACCCCCAGGAACCAGTGCACCTCGTCCACCTTCTTACAACAGGGTGAGTCCCTTCCTGGTTTAATCTGGGATGTTAGGAATTTGGTTGGGGGGATCATGTGGAGAGAAGAACCATCCTGGTTGCTGATTCCATGCAATAGATGGTGCCAGCTTAATGCAAAGAGTTGCTGGCTGCAGGTACGTGTGGTCATCTCTATGGCAAGGGTCTTTCAGAAAGGGAAGCAAAACCTCTCTGGTGCTTTCCTACCGTGGTTTGGATGAGGGGTGAGTGATGGGCTCTGTTTGCAGCAGAGATGTTTACTGCTGCTGTGGGAAGGCTCTTAAGCCAATGGCCATCCTACTGATCATTTGGGTCTCTTGGGAACACCATCTATAAACCAGATAGTGTTTGGTTATTGGAGATGCAAGTCCTTGGTGGTTTCTATCCTCTAGATGACAAGCAGAGGGAACGCTGCCTGGAGCTGTGGGTAGCTGATGGATGGTATTGAAAGGAGCATCCTGATGTAGTGGAAGGTGTCCCTGCTGTGGCAGGGTTTGGAGCTGGATGAGCGTTAAAGTCCTGTTAAACCCAAACCAGTCTGTGACCCTTGGGATGCTCTGATGGTGCTGGTTCCAGCTGGGATGGAGTTAATTCTCCCTGCTCACTGCCCCAAGGCTGTTTTGGCTTCCCTCTGAGAACAACGCTGATAACGCCCCGGTGTTCAGTTGTTGCTCAGCAGCACTTGCCCTGATCAAGGACTGCTCAGTCCCATGCTATGCCAGTGAGGAGGGACACAAGAAGCTGGGAGGGAGCAGAGCAGAGACAGGAGACCTGAAGCCCAGCCAGTTCAAGGGATATTCCATTCCATCCCATCCCATCCCACAGCACATCAGGCTCAGGAGAGAAACTGGGGGGACTTGGACAGAGCCCCTCATTGCTGCTGGGGCCAGGCAGTGCTCAGCTGTGGTGAGAACTGGGTTGTGCATCACTGCTGTTCACTGGAGTTTTGTTCCCATTCCCCTTTTAGTTTCATATATGTCACATTATTTCCCTTATTACTATCATTAGCATTATGTTGTACTGAACTTCAGTTATTAAACTGTTCTTATCTCAACGTGTGGCTTTTACATTCTCCTCCCATCCTGCCTGGCATAGGAAGGAGAGGTGAGGAAGCTGCTGCATGGTACTTCAGTTGCCAGTTGGGTTTAACCACGACAGAGCTTTAAGGTCCCTTCCAACCCATACTATCTTAGGATTCCACGACAGCACCTCAGTGAACCAGACATCTACATTAGAATCATCTTCATGCCAGATCCTGTTTTATTCCTTTCACTGTGCCTGGCATAGATCATAGAATACTTAGGGCTGGAAGGCATCTTAAGATCATCCAGTTTTAATGCTCCTGCCATGGGCAGGGACACCTCACACTAAACCATGGCACCCATGGCTCCATCCAGCCTATCCATGAACAGGGATGGAGCATTCACAACTTCCTTAGGCAGCCCATTCCAGTGCCTCAGCACCCTCACAGTAAAGAATTTCCTCCTTAGATCCAATCTAAACTTCCCCTGTTCCAGTTTGAGCCCATCACCCCTTGTCCTGTCACTGCAGTCCCTAATGAAGAGTCCCTCCCCAGCATCCTTGCAGCCCCCTTCAGACACTGGAAACTGCTCTGAGGTCTCCACGCAGTTTCTCTTCTCCAGGCTGACCAGCCCCAGAGTTCTCAGCCTGGCTCCATACAGGAGGTAAGAACCACATGGCAAGTGCTTCTGTGTTCTGTTTCCTGTGTGCAGCTGCTGAGGGAGGAGCTGCTCACCTGCGGGACCGTGCTGCAGATCTCGGATTTACCGGATGATGGCTTTTCTGATCAGGACATTAAAAAGATCGTGCAGCCTTTTGGCAAAGTCAGTGACCTCATTGTGCTTCGCTCCAGGAACGAGGTGAGATTCCCCCCCCCCCACCCCCCGCAGTGGCTTTGGGTCACAGTGGCAAAACCCCCCCATTCTAGCAATGAAAACGTGTCCTGTTTGGGTCTGCAGGTGAATATAGGGTAAGGCTTCCTGGTGTTTCATCATTAATGATCACATCCAGAGTCTTGGAATAGCTGGAAGTGTTAATTTTATAAATTCCATTCATCTTGCTACCCAAGTTAGTAACTGATAGAGAAAGTAGGATGTCTTTGGGAGATTTAGATTGGATATTAGGAGGTATTCTTCATCAAGACTGTTATCAAGCACTGCAACAGGCTGCCCGGAGCAGTGGTGGAGGCACTGTCCCTGGAGAGTTTTGACGTACATGTAAATAGGACATCCTGCATCCAGCTCTGGGGCAGCAGCACAAGGGGGATGAGCTGTTGGAGTGAGGCCAGAGGAGGCCATGGAGATGCTGCGAGGGCTGGAGCAGCTCTGCTCTGGAGCCAGGCTGAGAGAGCTGGGCTGGGGCAGCCTGGACAAGAGAAGGCTCCTGAAGGGGAGACCTGAGAGCAGCTCCAGTGCCTGAAGGGGCTGCAGGAAAGCTGGAGAGGGGCTTGGGCCAAGGGCCTGTAGGGACAGGCCAAGGGGAATGGCTTGAACCTGCCAGAGGGGAGACTGAGATGAGCTCTTAGGCAGAAGCTCTTCCCTGTGAGGGTGCTGAGGCGCTGGCACAGGGTGCCCAGAGAAGCTGTGGCTGCCCCATCCCTGGCAGTGCTCAAGGCCAGGTTGGACACAGGGGCTTGGAGCAAGCTGCTCCAGTGGAAGGGGTCCCTGCCTACGGCAGGGGTTGGAACTGGAGGAGTGTCCTGGGTTCAGCAGTAGCAGTCATTTTTCTCCTTCTTGGTAGCTGCTGCAGTGCTGTGTTTTGACTTTGGGCCTGGGAACAGAGCTGATAACAAGGATGTTTAGGTTTGGCCAAGGACTTTGTGAGCCTCATGCTCTGCCAGGGAGGAGGGGAAGCCGGGAGGAAGCAGAGACAGGACACCTGACCCAAACTGGCCCAAGAAGTATTCCATACCACAGCACGTCATGCCCAGGAAGTAACAGAGAGTTACCCAGAAGGGCTGGTGCACCGCGGGGTTGGAGGGAGGTATCGGTCAGTGCTTGGTTGGGCTGGGGGGGGCGAGTTATCGGTTGGCTGGTGCTGAGGAGCTGTATTCTGTTCCCTTGTTATTTCCTTTATCATTGTTATCATTGGTGGCAGCAGGAGTGATCTGTGTTATACCTTAGTTACTAAACTGTTCTTATCTCAGCCCGGGGGAGTTGCATTCTTCTCGGTTCTCCTCTCTGTCCCTCTGGGAGCAGGGGGAGGGCAAGAAGGGGGGGTGTGAGTGAACAAGCCGTCTGGCTGGGTGTAAACCACGACAAGGAGCTTTAAGTCCCTTCCAACACAAACCAGGCTGGGATTCTGTGTTTTAACCAGTGCTGGGTTAACAGCTGGACTTGATCCTAAAGGTCTTTTCCAACCTAAGGGAATTTATGATGCAGAAACCGGACTTCATCAGACTCCCTGTGAGCTCATTTATGGATGGATGTGGAGCTCTGTCACGAGCAGATTGCCTAAGGAGGGCCTGCAGTGGATGGCCTGTTGTGTGTGTAAGATAAGCACTGACCTCTCCGTTGGTTTCAGGCCTTCCTGGAGATGAACTACAAAGAGGCTGTGATCGCGGCGGTGAAATACGGGGAAACGGTGCCAGTGCTGGTGAATGGCAAGAGGGTGAAGATCAGCATAGCAGAGAAACCCAGAGCTCCTCCCGGGCAGGTGAGTGCCATGGGCACGGAGCAGCACACTGCTCCATCACTGGAGGGGCTCCGGGAGAATGGCTTTAGTGCTTTTAAATGGGGTTTTTATGTCCTTTCCATAAGGAACAGGCTGAACGATCGTGCAGAGGAACCTAAACCTCCACATTTCCCTTTTTGTGGTTATATTTGGTGTTTGTGAGTAGTACCCATTTAACAAACAGGGAAAGGTGCAACCTGCATTAATATATATAATTAATTACTATTAATGATTATCAGTACTATTTTATATATATTTTATATATGTATATACACACATTTATATATGAAATACAAATGATGCACTAAAAGTTCTTCTCTCTGCCCCTTTCAGGCCAAAAAGATTATAAAGAAACGGGCTCAGAACGTTAAGAAAGCAGCACCAGGCACCAAGTAAGTGTTGCTGTTACTCACATCAGTGTTAGTGACAACAACTGGGAACCAAATAGGATGCTCCTGGTTTGGTTTCTTGTGTCGCACTGGGTTTGAGCTCTTTCAGCTCTTTTATATGCATTAATTATCTTTAAAACTGATTTTTCTTTCTTTTTCCCCCCTCTGTAATAGGAAAGATCCGAACTCCACCACAAAGAAATTAATTGCAGGTGAGGTTGTGGTTACCTTCCATCTGGCGATGCCTCTGTTATTCCCTTCCCTCTTTATTCCCATTTCTTTTACGTGAGTGTTTTTCATCACAGGGACTGAGCAAGTCCAGGAGCTGCTGGGAAATGCCTGGTTCACCCTTTGAAATGTTGCCTTTTTCATGCAGCCTCATGTTCCTGTCTTTAGAGAACACCACAAACCCCAACCCTCAAATAGCAATAAAATCATCTTGCCTTGAGCATCCTGCTCTAGTGGAAGACTGGTATGGATCAAAGGGACTTTATATCTCATCCAGTCCCAACCCCTGCCACCTGCAGGGACCCCTTCCACTGGAGCAGCTTGCTCCAAGCCCCTGTGTCCAACGTGGCCTTGAGCACTGCCAGGGATGGGGCAGCCACAGCTTCTCTGGGCACCCTGTGCCAGCGCCTCAGCACCCTCCCAGGGAAGAGCTTCTGCCTAAGAGCTCATCTCAGTCTCCCCTCAGGCAGGTTCAAGCCATTCCCCTTGGCCTGGCCCTACAGGCCCTTATCAAAAGTCAGTAGTAAAAATATCAGTTGAATTGCTGCAAGTTAACCTGTTTTTGTGTGTATCTTTATATTCTTTGTAAGTGATTCTGCAATAAGCATTTCTTCTGACACTTGGTTATTTTATGCAGGTAAAAAAGAAAAGGCTAAGAAATCAGCATTGACAGGAGAGAGTAAAACCAAGAAAACCTCAAACACTGCAGGTAAGATAAGTGAGAACTCTTATTCTTTACTGGAAAACATGGGCTGGTTCCTTTCCACCTCCCTGCTCCCCTTTCCAGAGCAGGTATTTGAGGTTGTAGCCTGAGCTTCCCCCACCTCTCACTGTACTGGCCACTGCAGGAGATGTTAGACACCTTTCTTGTGGCTTGGCTGATGCTTCTTCCTGCTGTTACCCACCAGCCAAATCTCTAGAGGAAGATGTCCAGCTCCCAGTGGAAGCTGAAATGGAAGCTGAGGAGACAAAGCTGTCAGAGCCAAAGACCATCACAGAAGGGGATGGAGATCCAGAGCCTGGGAAGCCAGCAGAGACTCAGGCCAAAGGAGCCACCAGTCCTGTAGCTCTGCTGGGTAATTCTGAGATGATCATGCTGGTTTTGACTGACCTCGTTGTGAGTGATGTGGACTTTAATGTGGTGATGTCTTCTTCCTCCCTTTCTTAGACAAACTCTCCCAGATACCTCAGGTGGCAGCAGTGGACTTGAATGAGTTAAATAAAGCTTTAATTGATCAAGGTAAGCTGTACATGGACAGGGTTTAATCTGTCCTAAAGCCCCGTGATCTTGTGAGCTAAAAGAGAATGCTTCTGAGGCCAGGAAACTCAAGTGACCCAGGGAAAGATCTGTTCCTCAAGGTTCACTGACTGAAACACAGACCAAGAGCTCAGGTGACCATGGAGGGGCCTAAAACCCCCACGATTTCCATCTTTCAGCAGACACGGTGTTTTTACTTGGAGCTACATGGGGACTTCTGTTTACAGCTCATGAGAGCAAAGGGTCCAGGCTTTCTGTAGGTCCTGTTTGCAGCTTCCCCCACTGATGCTTTTGTTCTCTTTGCTGCCCGTTGCCACCTAGAGCTGGTTCCATAGATGCTGTTTTCCCCATAGTTTATAACTGATTTGTAACAGACTTTGTTTTATACATAGCAGGAATGTGTTAATTTTCAGTTACACTACGAGTGTGATAGTGGAGATGGGGCAAGGTTGCAGTTTCTGGACTTGTTAGGGGTAGAGACAAACACTTTACAAAGTGATTCTCCTTTACCTGCACTTGCTTATCCCATATGATTGATGTTACCCTGTTTCACAGGATCCCAGACTGGTTTGGGCTGGAAAAGAGCTTAAAGTTCATCCAGTTCCAACCCCTGCCACGGGCAGAGACCCCTTCCATTAGAGCAGCTTGCTCCAAGCCCCTGTGTCCAACCTGGCCTTGAGCACTGCCAGGGATGGGGCAGCCACAGCTTCTCTGGGCACCCTGTGCCAGCGCCTCAGCACCCTCCCAGGGAAGAGCTTCTGCCTAAGAGCTCAGCTCAGTCTCCCCTCGGGCAGGTTAAAGCCATTCCCCTTGGCCTGGCTCAGTCTCAACACCAATTGCTGAGCGACAGCGCTTTTCCCACCTATTCTTTGGAGCCTTTCACATATCCCTTTGGACTTGTCCCAGGAAAAAGAAGGAAAAGGTGATGTGGGGACATGCTGGGCACGTACGCAGTCCCTCGTGTGCCCACAGCAAGGTGTTGTGCTTGTGACTGATTGAACTGGTAAGGCCTCAGTTGTGAATTGATAAGGTCTCAATGTCAGCAGAGTGTGTGTGTATGGATCCAGGGATATCTGTTCATTTTGTATCTCCACTTAAAGCTGGTATTCCTGGAGGCATTTACCACACACTGGCTGTGTCTCACTGGTGTCATTTGTCGCTGTAAGTTCCATGGAGGAATATTGAGTCTGTCACAACAGCAGTGGGGCTAGAATGTAATGATAGAGGCTCTTAAAGCTCTGCAGTGCGCCAGGAAACCTCAGGTACTAAACTGCTCCCACCTTTGTGTTCTAGAAGCCACCGTAACGACAATAAAGAGTGAAGAACCCACAGACCCAGGAGTCCAGGTCAGTGTAAAGGTGACTCTGGAAGCTCTAAGGACAGTGGTGCCATTCCCATGTGCTGCATTAAAACCTCCCATTTACATCCCCAACCTGTTAAGCTCCTTGAGGAATAGTGGGTTTATTTTCCCCTTAATGATTGTGGCTTCACAGGCATCCACCAGCTCCCTCTGGGGCTGTCGTTAGTGACCCCAGAGCTCCTCTGTGCTCTGAACATCAGCACTGCCCTGCTGCGGGTTCCTTCTCTGGATGCAGCCTTTGCACATCCAGTCCTGCAGTGTCTGATGTGTGGACATGTCATGCTATAAAGTGATGGCATACATATAGGGGATTGGTTTGAGTTTTTGATGAGTTGACATGAGGGAGTGTCAGAATTCCCTTAGGTAGATACATCCACAGTTAAAGGGAATCATAGAGTCATGGAATGGTTTGGGTTCGAAGGCACCTTAAAGCTCATTCAGTTCCAAGACCCTGCCACGGGCAGGGACACCTTCTACTAGAGCAGCTTGCTCCATATGGACTGTTTGGGATGAAACTGGAGTGATTATAATAGAGGATGGACAGAGAAACATCCATTCATTTTCTTGTCATTATCAGTTTGCATTTACTTACTAGTGAACCTTATCTCTTGGTACAAGAGTCTGGAGCCCCAGCTGCAGTGGGTTTAGGTAGTAAGACCCAACACTCTTCAGAACTCCATCAGTTTGGAATACTGGTAACACTCCCTTCATTTTGTGTCAGGAAATGGATGATTCTTGTGTGGTCCTCATTTCAAACCTGCCGGAGAAAGGATTCTCTGTGGAGGACGTTTCCAACCTCGCAAAGCCTTTCGGGGGACTGAGGGATGTGCTCATCCTCTCATCTCATAAGAAGGTATTTTAAGTGGTATTTAGTAGTGATTGCACCTAAAGAAGCGGTAAATGTGTTTCTGACACACACAGGTGTGATGCTGTAGCTCAGGAAGCACCAGTGTGTGGTTAAAGTGTTTAATAATATCCATTTTCTCTGTTTTAAAAGGCATATCTTGAAATCAGTAGAAAATGTGCAGATTCCATGGTGAAATTCTACACCTGCTTTCCCATGTCTCTGGATGGAAACCAGCTCTGCATCACCATGCTGCCCCAGTATCAGAGTGTCAAAGATGAAGTAAGTCAGCAAATGTGTTGGAATTCCAGCAGATGGGATAGCATTCGGATGAGGAGCAGGATTTTATATTGGAGCCGACTTTTATACGCTGCTTTATGCATTGTGCTGGTGTCTCCTATTGAAGTGATGCTGGTAACTGCCTCCTTGGGTCCTGCCTTTCTGACCCAGGAGGAGCACAGACATCAGGAGTGCTGATGCTGTTGGCTTTGTTGATAAAGGAATTGGTCACGGTAGTGTGCTGCTGCTGAAGCTGTGTTTTACACATCAGATCATGTCTCTTTCTTTGCTGTTTTCTGTTGCAGGAAGCACTATTCACTGCTCTCATTAAAGATTCTGACCCCAAGGTAAGTGTGACTCCTGCTGCTACCCAAATCCTGGGTTTTAAATGGGAATTCCTATCCTTCATGCTGAAATACTAGCATTTACCTCAGGAATTAAATGTTGCTTTATGCTTTCATGGGTGGATGGGCAGGGATTAGAAGGAGTAAGCGTTCACTTAGTTTAACTCTATCATGCATAAAGCCCAAGGAATTAAACATTAACAGGAGTCTTGGGAGAACATCCCCTTCTGTTAGGTCATTTTCATGCTCTGATAGCACCTGCAGCTCAGCCAATGCACGGTGTTGACCTGTTTGTAACACCAGCCATTCTCCCTGTGGGTTTTCTAGCCAGCTATTATGGTTAAAGCATCAAACCCACCTCTGTGCTTTGTTCAATGCAGTGAGGCTCCCTTCTTGGCCCTCTGCTCCTGCACTGCACTAAGGGCTGACAAGAAACCTGGAGAGGGGCTTGGGACAAGGGCCTGTAGGGCCAGACCAAGGGGAATGGCTTTAACCTGCCCCAGGGGAGACTGAGATGAGCTCTTAGGCAGAAGCTCTTCCCTGGGAGGGTGCTGAGGCGCTGGCACAGGGTGCCCAGAGAAGCTGTGGCTGCCCCATCCCTGGCAGTGCTCAAGGGCAGGTTGGACACAGGGGCTTGGAGCAAGCTGCTCCAGTGGAAGGGGTCCCTGCCCGTGGCAGGGGTTGGAGCTGGATGGGATTTAAGGTTCCTTCAACCCAAACCATTCCAGGGTTCTGTGACTCTGATCTTGCAGTGTTCCTTTAAAATAGAACAACTTGATCCTGTCAGGTTTGCTCTCAATTCGTGGGAAGCACAGCTGGTTCTTTTGACATACAGCATAGGAAATGGAAAATCACAGCACCAGAATGGTTTGGTTTGGAAGGGGCCTTAAATCTGGAGTGAATGTGGAAGGGGGAACGTTGGACGTGTGTGAATGCTCCTTTCCATCAGATCTGAGTGATGACGGCATTTCCTGCGGGGTTTTTCTACCCCAGTTCAGTGCTGATATAAAGTTAAAGCAAGTTTTGTCATTGCTTCTCTTTAGGTGGATACTGAAACCGTTCACAGCCAGTTTGTGCATCTGGGGAACCTGCCGGATGCTGGCTACAGAGAGCTCGAAGTAGTGTGTGTGGGGCTTCGCTTTGGGAAAGTGGATCATTACGTTGTGCTGAAGAACAAGAACAAGGTAAAGTCACCTCCCAGTGCCAAGAAGGTTCCCTTATTGAGAGAACAAACTGGTTCCCACTCATCCTGAACCAGAAAATCCCATGCTGCCCATGATTTCTGTGTTGGGAAGGAGCTTGGGGATCCTCTGTTCCAACCTTTTAAGCACAGCGTGACCTAGACTGGATGGCCCAGCACCCTGTGCAGCCCAGTCTTAAGTGTCCAACGCTGGGGAGTCACCACTTCCCTGGGGAGATCATTCCAGTCTCTGGCTGTTCTCACTGGAAAAGGTTTTCCTCTTGTGTCCAGTTGGAATCTCCCCAGCAGTAACTTGTGCCCATCACCCCTCGGCTTTCCCATGGGATTCCTTGCCCAAAGGGAACTTCCATCATCTTTGTAGCCACCCTTTAAACACTGGCACATGGTGACTAGGTTTCCCCAAGCCTTTGCTGAACAGTCCCAGCTCTCTCAGCCTTTCCTCACACACTTCCCAGCCCTTGGATCATCTTTGTGCCCCTTCCCTGGACCCCTCCCAGCCCATCCGCATCTTTTCTGTACAGCAGGGACCAAACCTACACCCAGTATTCCCAGTGTGGCCTGACCAGTGCTGAGCAGAGCGGGACAGTGACACCTTCATCCCTGCTGGGGATGCCCTTGTGGATGCTCCAAGCTCCACTGGCTTGTGATGTAGTTCCTGCTATAGTTCTAAAGATAATTCCAGATGGAGAGATTTCAGCCTCTCAGGAAGAAGTCTGGTGTTGTCTGTACCCAGAACAGGATTCCATCCAAAAATGCTGCTCACTTCAAATGAATTTCAAGTGGAGGAGGCGAAACCTTTCAGGAACACTGGGTATCACATGCTGTACCCACTCCATGTGCTAGACTTGTCCTGCAGTGCAGAAACAGCTGATGTACCAGTGAGCTGAAGCTTGTGCTGCTTTTCCTTCTAGGCAATCCTGCAGCTGGATAGTCCCAGCTCAGCCAGATCCATGTACAACTTCCTGAGGCAGTACCCATACAGCATGGGTGAGCACACCCTGACCTGCATGCTGTCACCCAGGGGAGAGGCTGAGGTGAGATTCCTTCAATGCTACCTTGTTCTTGTGGAATAGAGCCATCTTCCCATGGAGAGCAGCTCCTGCAGTGGTTGCTGTCACTGTGGAGGAGAGTGAGACCTGGGTCATAGTGGGAACTGGGTTAACTTGTCTCCTGTGGGATGTGGCACAGGGAGGGAGGATGGGGGCTGTTTGTCTGCCTTTGTCTCTCTGTATTTTACATACATGTGTGGAACCTCTTTCCATGGAGGAAAGTACCTCTTGATGAAGGATGAAAAGAGAAAGGAAGAAAGCAGTGATTTAATACAGGTTAGAAGAGGTGCGATGAGTGAGTTTAGAGTTCATCTGATCTAGGCTGATTCATCTGCTTTATTCCTCTTGATGCTGGAGAGGGGCCTTGGCCAAGGGCCTGTAGGGCCAGGCCAAGGGGAATGGCTTGAACCTGCCAGAGGGGAGACTGAGATGAGCTCTCAGGCAGAAGCTCTTCCCTGGGAGGGTGCTGAGGCGCTGGCACAGGGTGCCCAGAGAAGCTGTGGCTGCCCCATCCCTGGCAGTGCTCAAGGCCAGGCTGGACACAGGGGCTTGGAGCAAGCTGCTCCAGTGGAAGGGGTCCCTGCCTGTGGCAGGGGTTGGAGCTGGAGGAGCTTTAAGGTCCCTTCCAACCCAAACCAGTCTGGGATCCCACGTCTTGCGCAGAAGCTGTGGCAGTCACATTGACAGAGGTGGGAACACCACCACTTGCAGCTAATTCTGTGTTCCATTTGCACATCCTCCTTATTTCATAGAATCCTAGAATAGTTAGGGTTGGAAAGGACCTTAAGATCCTTTTCTCTCTTCAGCAGTACTCAATTTGGACGTTTTCAGCACTATTACAGAAACCAAACAAGGATGGGGTTAAGGGAGCACTGATGTTACCACTGTCACTGTACCCCTCTGACCCCTGTCAGGCTGCTCAGCCCCTGGACCAGAGCAGCACCCTGTGTCACCCACTGTGTACTGCTGGGAAGAAACACTGTTGGGGAGCCAGAGTGAGGATGCCATTGTTCTGTTGCTTTGAACCCTGATGCAATGCTTATAGTGACAAAGACACGTTGTTCTCTTGCTACAGCAGATACAGGGAACTGCTATAAAGAGCAGGTTTGAGTCACAGTGCTCCCACAATGAATCCTTGACAGGCATTCCTTAGCACAAGCACTTTCATGCCGTTTAGTTAATTTTTTCAGTGCTAAGGGAGCTTTTTCCTATGGTCTAGACTTGAGGAAGAGCTTGGAAGTATGAAGATGTGGCTGTTTTGTTCAGCCTAATAAAAGATGTACCCAAACCTGCATCTGGCATCATCTCACACAGCTATAACCTGGGTTCTTGGAAATGAGCTGAGGTCCAGCACAGCAGCTCTAGGAGAGCTGCCTGCCTGGGTTTGCTGCTCACAGGGGGAAGGCTGGTGGGTGATGTGATGGGTGGAGGCTGTCTGGGACAGGGTGAGCCCCATATGATTCAATATTCAATATGACTGAATTATCCATCCTTGGAGCAGTCGGGAAGAAGGTCAGCAAAACCTCCACCTTAGGCTTGCAGAGGGCTGCCTTTGGCCTGGGTAGGGGGCTGGTTGGCAGAATTCCTTGGGAAAGCATTACTGAAGGACAAAGGGGTCCAGGAAGGCTGGATGCTCTTCAGGAATGAAAGCCTTAAGGTGAAGGAGCCGGTGGTCCCTATGTGCAGGGAAGAGACCAGCTTGGCTGAACAGGGAAATAGTGCTGGAACCTGGGGAAAGAAGGAGAATCTGTCACTTGTGGAAGAGCATAGAATCATGGAAAGGTTTGGGTTGGAAAGGACCTTAAGCTCATCCAGTTCCAAGCCCTGCCATGAGCAGGGATGCCTCACACTCCACCATGTCACCCACGGCTCTGACCAGCCTGGGCTTAAACGCTGCCAGGGATGGGGCATTTGTTAGGTTATATAGAGAGAAGGCTAGAAAGGCAAAGGCACAAATGGAACTACATCTGGCCACTGCCATCAGAGATAACAGAAAGTACTTTGTCAAGTCTATTAGAGGTAACAGGAAAGCCAAGGAGAAACTCCATCCTCTGCTGGATACCAGGGGGAGCCTGGTGACTGAGGATGAGGGAAAGACTGAGGTACTTCACTTCTCTGGGCACCCTGTGCCTGCGCCTCAGCACCCTCCCAGGGAAGAGCTTCTGCCTAAGAGCTCATCTCAGTCTCCCCTCTGGCAGGTTCAAGCCATTCCCCTTGGCCTGTCCCTACATCCCTTGTCCCAAGCCCCTCTCCAGCTTTCCTGCAGCCCCTTCAGGCACTGGAGCTGCTCTCAGGTCTCCCCTTCAGGAGCCTTCTCTTGTCCAGGCTGCCCCAGCCCAGCTCTCTCAGCCTGGCTCCAGAGCAGAGCTGCTCCAGCCCTCGCAGCATCTCCATGGCCTCCTCTGGCCTCGCTCCATCAGCTCCATGTCCCTCTTGTGCTGCTGCCCCAGAGCTGGATCAGGGCTGCAGGGGGGTTCTCCCCTTCACACAGCAGAGGGGCAGGATCCCCTCCCTGAGCTGCTACTCACACTGGGGATGCACCCAGCACATGGGGGGGTTCTGGACTGTGAGCACTCACTGATGGCTCATGGGGAGCTCTGTTATTTGCTGGGTTATTCAAGTTCTCTGCTGATGCTTTTGAAAGCCACAGGAGCTGACCTTGATTTCTGCCTTTCAGGCTGAAGCTGTGAAGAAAGAAGTGAAGGAGGAGCCGAGCCTGGGCAGGTACGCCTTTCCCCTGTCTATGCTGTCTGTCAATGTATCTATATTGGTGGTGGTTATCTATGGAGGGGGAAGCACTTCCTGAGCCATCTCTAGCTAAGCTGGATGAAAATCCTGCTCCGAGGTCCATCGGCTGTTCCCTGTGTCACTGCTTGGAGCTCCCTGTGTTCTGTGCGTGGGACGTGGCGTGCGCTGCTGCAGAGCTGTCGTGTTTGTGATGCCTTTGGGAGACCACGGGCTGAAACCCTCTTTTCTCTGTAAATCCCTGGAGTTATTATTGTTCTCCTCATTTGGCCAGGGTTTTACCCCAGCTCCTGGGAGCTATGTTGGGATGTACGTGTTGGGAAGCTCCGCTTTTGTTGTATTGAACCAAAAAGCACTTGCTTGTTTTATCCTCCAGCGCTTTCCTCTGTCAGAGCATCTGGCTCTCCTGTTGCTGTTTCCAAATGCTAAAAATAAACTGGAACTTCCTTGTTTAACTGATTAACCTTCACTCCGTGCTGTGGTACAGGTCCTGAGCTGATCTAGAACCAATGTTTAGGTGCTGTGTTAACATCAGAACCTACACATGGGGAATGGTGGGATTGGTATGCTCCATTGCCAACTGTTTTACGGATACTGCTGGTAGCAGAATCCCGAATTGTGGGATATTTGTTGGGTTCAGAGCCTGGATTATGTGTTTTTAATGACTGGATAGATGATTATGAGAGGTTTTATTAATGAATATGACTTCAGACACTTTCTGTGACTCAAATCCTTATTTCTGGCTAAGTTGCATCAAACCCAAAGTGTGTAATAATGATCCTGAAGTTGCATTTCCAGTGATGCCATTCTACTGTCATGGGTCGTTGTTTTATCCCCAAACCCTGTTCTTTGTGAAAGCAGAGTTAAAGCATTCCTAACTTCAGGAAACCTCTCCTCAGCTCCAGTTGGAAGCATTTAGTATCAGAGCTGTCTCCGACTCGCAGGTGGGCGTAAGTGCAGGTAACCTCTTTGATCCCAGGCTTAGGCTTTAGCTAGTGCTGGGATTCATCCAAACAAGCAACTCTTCCATGAATCCCAGCTGCTTCCCTGCATCCTGCAGTGGCTGTTGAGGAGCAGGGTGATCCAAGAGTTTTCCATACAAATATCCCTACACCCAGCCTCCTTGTCTGAGGCAACTCTTCTCCTTGTGACCCTTTGAACCTTAGTTACATTTAATAAGAAGCAGAAAATACCTTCAGTATAGCTATGAAGACCTTGTCCTAGGTTTCTGAGGAGGGAAGGAATAGTGAATCCCGGGAGCAGAAGGAGCTGCCCTCCTGCTTGTCCGGGATAAGGAGATGAGCTTAAAAACCTTGGAATGCTGCTGGGAGCTCGGGTGTTGTCCAGCCCAGCAGGGAGCTCATCCAGCCTTGGGGCTGAGGTCACTGATGTGCTCATGTGGAATCATTTGCTCTTGTCAAGGATGGGATCTCTTCTCCTCAGCTGAGGCTTTCCCAGCCAGGTGAAGACTCCAGGAGCATCCCACTGCTCCTTCCAGTCGTGAGTAGGAAGCAGGTTGTGTCCCTCCTGTGGCACAGCCCCTGGTGGTTCCAGGGCTGATCCCAAGCCTTTCCCTTGCGAACTCCATAGCTGTGTACAGCAGCTGGTGCAGGGCATCCTGTGCAGGAATCAAGCCCAGGTACTCCTGCTTTCCCCTTTGCACTAACTCCTGTGCAGCAAACGTGTCTTGCAGGTCTCCGTGCTGCTGCTTTCCTGATGCCTGGCAGGTCTTTTAAGTGCCAAGCACCTTGATGCTTGCTCAGGCTCCTCGGTCACCCTCATCTCTGCACATTGCCATCCCTGCAGAGCTCTTCTTCAGCCACTTCTCACCCGGGTTTGAATCTCCCCGTGTATTTTGGGGCTGAGCAGGGCTTTGTGGGAGGCACAGGGTAGGTGTTGGCATGGAAGGAGATGTGAAGTCCTGAGGATTCAGAGGCTAACGTAGATCCGTGGAATGGTTTGGGTTGGAAGGGACCTTAAAGCTCCTCCAGCTCCAACCCCTGCCACAGGCAGGGACCCCTTCCACTGGAGCAGCTTGCTCCAAGCCCCTGTGTCCAACCTGGACTTGAGCACTGCCAGGGATGGGGCAGCCACAGCTTCTCTGGGCACCCTCAGCACCCTCACAGGGAAGAGCTTCTGCCTATGAGGGTTTAGATTGATTCCAGGTCCAAGGAGCCCTTTTGGGATGAGCTGGATGCTGGAATGGGTGAGGCTGCTTTTACTTCCCAAGATTCCAGTTCCTGTGAGTGGCTGTAGGGGATGTTCCCAGCAGTTTTTGGAGCACACACACTCCAGCCAAGCTGCAGGATGCCACTTCCTAGTGCAGGAGTGCCCTTGAATCGTGCTCTCTGTGTGAGTCCATTGGGCATCTAGTCATGGTGTAGTACATCTGCCAGCATTAAATGGTGTCTCAAGAGGTTTTGAGGCAGAATTCACATCCCTTCTTTCTCCTCTTACATTTTGTACCACAGGGGACAGTGCCCTTGGTCCAGAGGAAACCTTGGAGCTTGGGTTTGGGTTGTAGCAGAGGTGTTAACTGAGTTTGCCTGTTCTCATCCCTCCATTGACCCCATGTGTTGGGTCTTCATCCCCCATCTGGCCACTTGAGGACATCTTCATCCTCACTGAGCTCCAGTTGATCTGGCCTCCCGTTGTCTCACTGGCATCCTGCTGGGTGGGAGTATCACCCAGTGTCAGGCTTCTCTGCTGTAGTTCTGTTGTCAGGAGGCGTTATCCCAAGTGCAGCCTTTATTCATCCCCATGGGTTCTGAGAAGCCCCAGCTCAGCAGCTCCAAGTGCGTAACCACTGATGAACAGTGGCTTTGCTGCTTTTGTTTCAGCACTTAAGGGGATTGTCAACACTGGCATTGCAGCTCTTTTCCACCTGGGGATGTGTGAGGTGCTGGGATGCTCGTTTTCTTGAGCTCTGTAGGGAAAGGTCCACAGACATCTCTAATCCCAGTGCTTCTCAGTATCATCTATGGAGGGTTCTTTCTTGCAGAGAAGAATACAGCACTGACTAACTGATGCTGCTGGAAAGCTCTATCCTTGTGCTGTCATCTTGGGCTTTATTATCCCAGGAGCTGCTGGTGGGATTATGGAGTCAACCAGAGCCTGGCCAAAAGGAGCCTCTGGGCATGTTTTGGATGAAGTTAATGCAGTTAAAACCAAAGCAGCCCCTTCCTTCCCCTAAACCTGAGCTTAAAACTGTGAGGCTTTTATAGCACCTGGAGTTGTTCTCTGGGATGTTGTCTGCAGAATTTGCTGTCCTCGAACACACCAAAACCCCAGTAATTCCTGAAACAGGGAGGATGCAGCTTTATTTTCCCTGTAGATCTGCTTTCCCAGCCTGCCTGCATCAGGGCATCTAAGGTTTAGGTGCCTCGAGGGGTCCGACTGCAGGTAGCACAGGGACAGAGGCTTTGAGGTGAATGAAACCAAAGCATAAACCCAATGAGCCATTCACCTCCAGGTTTGTAAGCGTTGTAACACTCAGAGGGGAGATTTCCAAGCCCTAAATGCATCAGGAACCCCCCACCATTGGCGTCAAGAGCTTGCTGGTAACTGTAGAATTCTCCAACCTGGTTTGATTTCTTCTGTTTCTTTTAAATGCATTTAGCTCTGGCTTGAAAATATATCCAGAGGGATCAGGAGTGGTGCAAAGAGCAGCTGCTAATCCTCCAGTAGAGCCCAGTGTGGCAAAGGAAGGAGCCATTGCCATCTCTCATGTCAAAGAAGAGGAGTCAGCAGGACTCGTAGAGCCCTCTGAGTCCCACCTTGAAGGAGCAGGAAGGGACCTTGCTGCGAGACTGATGGAGGCGCCGGTGGAGAAGGTGGGCACTGGAGTGACTGCAGCATCCATCAAACCCGCTGGTACTGAGCCACCCCAAGTGAAGCTGGAGGAGATGTCACCACCACCACCACCACCACCCAGCGTGGAGGAAGAGGAGGCAGCTCAAGGTGATACCAAACCGGTGCTGCCTGAACCTGCTGTTGTGTCTGCACCAAAGAAGGAGGTTAAAGAGAAAGGTGAAGAGTTGTCCCCTCCTGCTGCTGAGCCACCAGAAGAACTGTCCCATGTGGGCAAGGCTGAAGATGTGCCATCAGGTTGTGCTGTGACCCCAGCAGGAGGGAATTCAGGGGCGGCTGTCCCCAAGGTGATGCCCCCCAGCTCTGGCCTGGCACCAGTGCAGGTGGTGTCATGTGTTGCTCCTGTAAAGAAACCTGGTTTTCATGGGTTGAAACTCAAAGTTGGACCGTCTATAACTGTGGTAGCAGAGAAGAAACCTGGGCTTAAAGCTTGGGCAGCTGCAGAGAAGAAGGTGGCTGGAGCTGGAGCAGGCAGAGAGGTGCGAGCAGAAGAGTCTGCACTCCGAGCTGGAAGAGCTGTGGAGGAGAACCCCAGAAAGCTTTCGGTCAGGGCTGGGGCAGAGACACAGAAGAAACAGGAGCAGCCCATGGCCAAGGCTGGGGCTGTTACGGTGAAGGTTGCAAGTGCTGCCAGTGAGAAGAATGAGGGAAGTTTGGTCGAAACCCATCCAAATAAAGGGGCAGGAGCATCAAGAGCTGATGAAGCCCCCAAAGCTCTTACGTTGAGCTCCCCTGCGTGTGTCAAAGAATGTTCCTCTGCTGCTAAAACGATCCTGAGGGCAGTGCTGTCTCTTCCAGACATAGCCAAGTCAAGGGTTGCAGTGTGGAGAAATGAGCCTTCGCCATGTAAAGGAGGGGAGCAGAAAACCCCCTCGAAGCCTGAGCCCCAAAGCCCAATGGTGGTGAAGAAGATAACGTCGAAAGAAGGTGATGCCCCCAAACCTGATGGCAGCAGACCAAGCCTGGGAGATGGCAGCAGCACTGAAGCGAGCAGGAGCTCTGTTGTTGATGGCAAGGGAGGCAATGGGAGGAATTCATCTCAGCAAGAGGAGTCCCAAGTGGAATCTAGGGCTAGTTCAAAACAGACTCAAGAGGGAGAGAGTAGACCCTCCAGCATGAAGAAAGACAACAGCAGCACTAAGGTGAGGAGGGCAGGAAGGCCGGTTCCATTGCCTCATGAGTAACTAACTCCATGCTCAGTCTGGGACCATGAGGTTATGTTCCCCATCCCTTATCCATAAGCGAGCTGGTGTGGGCCAGCAGCCCAGCTGGAATAGCGAGATGGTGGCCAACCTTTAGATGCCATGTGAGCAACGCAGGTACGTAACTGCTTTGAGAACGCTACTTGGATAGAAGTTGAGGAAGGAGGTTTTGGAATGAGCCTTCATTGAGTGTCATAACTTTATGTTCTTGGATTAATGGGAATTAATGAGCTGTGTGTCCTTCTGTGAGCTGGTATTTGCTTTGTCAAGCCCTGCACAGACCCTGCTTACTGCAAAGAGGCTGTTAACCTGTGACTTGGTGCCTGGATCTACCGCTGATGGTTGGCTTAGTGGTGTATTTGCCAAGAATGGGATCAGGAGCAGCAATCTGGACAACTCAAAGCTCCTTAAGGGAGCAGAGCCCTAGCTGAGTGTCTTTGTAACTCTTCTCTTGTGGGCAGGCTGCTTGGCTGAGCTGGTTTTATGGCAGCTTCTGTCTGATCTTGCAGGTTTCTGGTGATGGAGATGCTAACCCCTCGAAAAGTGGCACAGCCAGCAGTGCGAAACCAAAGGAGGTAAGGACACAACCACAGTTGGGCTCGGAGTCCAGGCTCATTTGAGAGCATGGGTTTGTGTGTGTGTACCAAGCACCTTTAGCATCCTTCCATGGGGAATTTCTTGTTACAGATGGTGGGCATAGAGCTGTAGGGTTGAGTCGTTTGGAAGAGAAGCTGTATCTAAGAAGTGTGTTAAAAGGAGTTATTTTTGGGTCTTGGATGTTATTTCTTGGAGAAAGAGAGTATTAATTCTCTCTGTGTGAGATCTCTGCGAGAAGGGGAAGGCAGGCTGATGTCTTCCAGCTCTTTAGAGATGCTTTTGCCTAACAGGAGGGACAAAACCCATCCCCATCCAGGTACTTCTTCCATGCAGAGATGCTGCCTGTGGGCTCTGCAGAGCAAGGATGGGTTATGGGACAGTTTGGTGCAGTGGTGGTTTGAGGACAGGCTTGGGAGCCTGTGGGCTGAAAAGTCTGCACTGAAAAGATGTATCCAGTTCTCCCTCTTACATAAGCTGGGCTTTGGGGAAGAAAAGCAGAAAGTAGTTAATAGGAATAAAAGTCCATCTTGGTGAGTCTAGAAAGAGCATTATGGGGTCAAATGCCAAAGAGCTCATCTCAGTCTCCCCTCGGGCAGGTTAAAGCCATTCCCCTTGGCCTGTCCCTACATCCCTTGTCCCAAGCCCCTCTCCAGCTTTCCTGCAGCCCCTTCAGGCACTGGAGCTGCTCTCAGGTCTCCCCTTCAGGAGCCTTCTCTTGTCCAGGCTGCCCCAGCCCAGCTCTCTCAGCCTGGCTCCAGGGCAGAGCTGCTCCAGCCCTCGCAGCAGCTCCATGGCCTCCTCTGGCCTCGCTCCATCAGGTCTCCTAACACCCCCAAGTCCTTCTCCTCAGGGCTGCTGCATCCAGTCCCCCCCCTCCCCAGCCTGGGGATCCTCTGGAGACTCTCAGATATTTGCTGTCTTCCTGCAAGTGAGGGCAGAAACACAGAGCAGTATCCATGGCACCAGCCCAGTTCTTTTAATAGCCACAATTTGTGTCTATTCATCCGGTGTGTGTTTGAAAACCACTTGGGGTGCCTGAATTAAAGCTGCTGCACCACACAAATGCTGGTAATGAAAACTCTTCCAGTTGGGATTCAAGGCCTGAGAAGTGCCATTTCCCCCCCTTTCAGCCACGTTCAGCATGCAGGTTTTTGAGCAGGTACCTGGGGATGCTGCTGGAGAGGCGTTGGTGTCGCTGGGTGAGTGCTAAGCTTTGCTGTGTTCGCATCCTTCTGCTTCCCAGGAGGAAGAGCTGTTCCCGTTTAACCTGGATGAGTTTGTTACCGTGGATGAGGTGGTCGAGGAAGTCGAGCCTCCTGTTAAAGCACGGCGAAAACCAGCGAGGGCGAAGAGAAAAGCAGGAGCTAAAGGCAACTCCGCCGCCGCGCCGAGCTCCAAGAGGAGGAAAGGGAAGAGATCCATGGCCCACATCGCTGAGAGCGAGCTCTCCTTTGTCACCCTGGATGAGATTGGGGAGGAAGAGGAGGGCTCAGCCCCACTCATGGCAGTTGCTACCTTAGAAGCCCTCGGTGACCCTCAGGGCCTGGTTGTAGTGGATGAAGTGATGGAGGAGGAGGAGCTCTCGGAGGCAGTGAAGGATCCGCAGTCGCTTGTTACTTTGGATGAGATCTCGGAGCAGGAGGATCTTGGTTCCCAGAAGGACGCGGCGAGGTTGGATTTTGAGGAGCAGGATTTGAAGGCAGAACCCTTGGTCACTGTGGATGAGATCGGGGAAGTGGAGGAGCTGCCTCTGAACGAGCCGACGGACCTGAGCCTTGAGGATGTGCCCAGGGAGGACGATGAGGTGGCTGCCGAGGACGCCAGGGATGGCGCTTCCCCTCCGGTGCCTGATGATCCCAGCGCGCTGGTGACGGTCGATGAGATACAGGAGGACAATGAGGACAACCCTCTGGTGACTTTGGATGAAGTGAACGAGGATGAGGATGATTTTCTGGCTGATTTCAATCGCCTGAAAGAGGAACTGAACTTCGTCACAGTGGATGAAGTCGGAGAGGAGGACGAGGAGGAAGAAAACTCTTTCCCAGGGAAAACTCAGGATGCAGGCAATGAAGATGTCGTTGCTGTTGCAGGACCAGAGGAGAAGGACAGTGTTGCTGTTGCAGGACCAGAAGAAATGGAGATCCAAGGAGATAGGACTGCAGAAAAAGAAATTACTGCAGTCTCAAAGTCCAAAGGTGAGGAACCTCCTGCAGTTCTAGAGGGGAAAGAAGATGCTTGTCATTGTTACTAATGCACTTCACAAAGCATCTTCCTTTGATGTGTAAAACTAAGCTGTGTGTTGAAGTCTTCACGGTGTGCTTACGGTGGCTAAAACTGGGGAAGATCATTTCCTTTCTTGCCTTTGGGCTTGGCGAAGCACCTAACGCTGTGCAGATTATTGACAGTCTTCAGTTCCAGAGCCAAGTTGCATTAGGACAGGGGAGTGAGGTGAATTAGACACAGGGATACAGGGATGTAACCGCCTCCAAGCTGGATCTGGAGGGTGAAGCGTAGAGCATCCTCTTTAGCCTGGAGTTAGCAAAGGGTTAAGGAAGCCTAATGTAGGGAGAGCTCTAGAAAAGGGCTTGGCCGAGGCGTGGGTGCAGGCCATGCACAGTGCAGCCCACTGCTGTGACGTGTCCTTTCTGTCCCTGCTGCTGGAAGCCAGCTCTGACTGACCCAGCACCTTCCGTCCTCCTGCTCTGGAGGAGCTTTTCTCCCATCCACCATCCCCACAGAGCAGGGCAGGCTGAGTAGTGCAGGGATGGAGGAGCTCCAGAAGCATCCGGGGTCTTGTTAAACCAAAGGGGTTTAAACATCATAGAAGCATCCAATCCCAGAGTGGTTTGGGTTGGAAGGGACCTTAAAGCTCCTCCAGCTCCAGCCCCTGCCACGGGCAGGGACCCCTTCCACTGGAGCAGCTTGCTCCAAGCCCCTGTGTCCAACCTGGCCTTGAGCACTGCCAGGGATGGGGCAGCCACAGCTTCTCTGGGCACCCTGTGCCAGGGCCTCAGCACCCTCGCAGGGAAGAACTTCCTTATTTCTATCTTACATCACTGCAGCACTGGCGCCGTATGTGGCCCAGGCTGTCCCACCTGCAGGATTGGTGCTGGGAGTTCTGGAAGGTTCCTCTCTGGAGAGACCAAACTGACTCATGCAGACAGTAGTGAGGCCGTGTGGATGGTGTTGGTGTCGAGCAGCACCGAGCTTGTTGCAGCTGGGTGTAGGATACCTGTAACTGTGAGGCAATGCCTGTGTTTAACTGTGTCTCTGCCCCCAGTAGGTCACCTGGGATCAGCACGGAAGGACCTGAAGTCTAAGAAGAAGAAACTGCCTTCATCAGGTGTATCAAAGGCGCAGAGTGCTCCAAAAGGTATCCCCACATCCACACACCCCACATGCTCCATGCTGCTCCCGCTGCGAGACGGCTGCTTGCCCATTTGGAAACACCTCCCTTGCCCCATTGCCACATTCAGTTCCAAGGTCGTGGCCCATAATCTGTGTTTTCACCTTGGCTCCTACAGAGGGGTGTTTCACAGAACCCCAGGCTGGTTTGTGCTGGAAGGGACTTGGAAGCTCATCCGGTTCAACTCCAAGTTAAAGTCTCTGCTGTTGGCTTAATAGCAGCAGCAAAGTGAAAAGGTCTTTTCCCCCCTATAGTTTCCAAATACAGATTAATTCATTCCTAATGAATACACATTGATAATTTCTCTCTATAAATATATATAGCTTACATATTTATGTATATAAATATATCTAATTTATAATACTTCACAATGCTGCATAATTCCCACTCTTCTAACCCTGTCAGTGCTGTATTACCAGCTTCAATATGGAGAGGGAACTGCTAACACTGGTTTAGAAGGTTCTATGTGTATATATATGTTTTTTCCCCCCAAATCTTCCTCTAAAATTACCTTCCCATAAAGCTACTGATAACACTGGAACTGTAACAGAGGTTTCGAGGAAGACGTGGATTCTTGCTCGGTGCCTTGTGTAACAGTCACATTCCACAAAGCTTGTGTAACACCCAGCAGGACAGGGGTTCAACATAGCAAATGAGTTGTGTTCCATAGAAACATGGAATCATGGAATGGTTTGGGTTGAAGGGACCTTAAAGCTCATCCAGCTCCAACCCCTACCACGGGCAGGGACCTCTTCCACTGGAGCAGCTTGCTCCAAGCCCCTGTGTCCAACCTGGCCTTGAGCACTGCCAGGGATGGGGCAGCCACAGCTTCTCCATTCAACCCCTTCCAGTGTTCCCCCACCTTCCTTGTGTCCCATCCATCTCCCCTGTGGCAGGTTAAAGCCATTCCCCTTGGCCTGGCCCTACAGGCCCTTGTCCCAGGCCCCTCTCCAGGTTTCCTGGAGCCCCTTTAGGTACTGGAGCCGCTCTAAGCTCTCCTCAGGCTGCTCCGTTCACTCTTCCCCAGCCTGTGTTTGTGCTGGGATTGTCCCCACCCATGTGCAGGACCTTGCCCTTGGCCTTGTTGAACTCCATGAGGTTCCACCTCTCCAGCGTGTCCGGGTCCCTCTGGATCCCATCCCTTCCCTCCAGCGTGTGGGTCACACCGCACAGCTCCGTGTCATCAGCAGCCTGCTGAGGGTTCTCATCCCCCTGTCCATGGGCAATGCTTTTAAGGCCAGAAGGTGCTGAGGGGGTTGCAGAGAGCCTCAGATCCAGGAGGGTCAGATCCTCTGTTCCCATCAGTTCCCTCCCCTCCTCTGCTCACTGATCCAGGGCAGGGGAGCAGCTTGGATTAGAAACCTCACTTTTTGAATACTGATAAACTAGAACTGAAGGAATTCCAGTGAGATCAAATTGCACAGATTTGGCTCCATGTGATGTGATTTTGAGTCATTTGTAAAGCTGTGGTGTGTAGCTGGGATGCTCTGGAGCTGTGATCTGTGACTGGGATGCTCTGGAGCTGTGATCTCTGACTGTTGGGTGCTCTGGAGCTGTGATCTGTGACTGGGGTGCTCTGGAGCTGTGATCTGTGACTGTTGGATGCTCTGGAGCTGTGATCTGTGACTGGGGTGCTCTGGAGCTGTGATTTGTGACTGTTGGATGCTCTGGAGCTGTGATCTGTGACTGGGGTGCTCTGGAGCTGTGATCTCTGACTGTTGGATGCTCTGGAGCTGTGATCTGTGACTGGGGTGCTCTGGAGCTGTGATCTGTCACTGGGGTGCTCTGGAGCTGTGATTTGTGACTGGGATGCTCTGGCTGTGATCTGTGACTGGGATGCTCTGGAGCTGTGATCTGTGACTGTTGGGTGCTCTGGAGCTGGGATTTGTGACTGTTGGATGCTCTGGAGCTGTGATCTGTGACTGGGATGCTCTGGAGCTGTGATCTGTGACTGGGATGCTCTGGAGCTGTGATCTGTGACTGGGGTGCTCTGGAGCTGTGATCTGTGACTGGGGTGCTCTGGAGCTGTGATCTGTGACTGTTGGATGCTCTGGAGCTGTGATCTGTGACTGGGATGCTCTGGAGCTGTGATCTCTGACTGTTGGGTGCTCTGGAGCTGTGATCTGTGACTGGGGTGCTCTGGAGCTGTGATCTGTGACTGTTGGGTGCTCTGGAGCTGTGATCTGTGACTGTTGGGTGCTCTGGAGCTGTGATCTGTGACTGTTGGGTGCTCTGGAGCTGTGATCTGTGACTGTTGGGTGCTCTGGAGCTGGGATCTGTGACTGGGGTGCTCTGGAGCTGTGATCTGTGACTGTTGGGTGCTCTGGAGCTGGGATCTGTGACTGTTGGGTGCTCTGGAGCTGTGATCTGTGACTGGGATGCTCTGGAGCTGTGATCTCTGACTGTTGGGTGCTCTGGAGCTGTGATCTGTGACTGTTGGGTGCTCTGGAGCTGTGATCTCTGACTGTTGGATGCTCTGGAGCTGTGATTTGTGACTGTTGGGTGCTCTGGAGCTGTGATCTGTGACTGGGATGCTCTGGAGCTGTGATCTGTGACTGGGATGCTCTGGAGCTGGGATCTGTGACTGGGGTGCTCTGGAGCTGTGATCTGTGACTGTTGGATGCTCTGGAGCTGTGATCTGTGACTGTTGGGTGCTCTGGAGCTGTGATCTGTGACTGGGATGCTCTGGAGCTGTGATCTGTGACTGGGATGCTCTGGAGCTGTGATCTGAGCTGTGATCTGTGACTGGGATGTTCTGGAGCTGTGATCTGTGACTGGGATGCTCTGGAGCTGTGATCTGTGACTGGGATGCTCTGGAGCTGTGATCTGTGACTGGGATGTTCTGGAACTGTGATCTGTGACTGTTGGGTGCTCTGGAGCTGTGATCTGTGACTGGGGTGCTCTGGAGCTGTGATCTGTGACTGTTGGGTGCTCTGGAGCTGTGATCTGTGACTGGGATGCTCTGGAGCTGGGATCTGTGACTGTTGGGTGCTCTGGAGCTGTGATCTGTGACTGTTGGGTGCTCTGGAGCCGTGATCTGTGACTGGGATGCTCTGGAGCTGTGATCTGTGACTGGGATGCTCTGGAGCTGTGATCTCTGACTGGGATGCTCTGGAGCTGTGATCTGTGACTGGGGTGCTCTGGAGCTGTGATCTGTGACTGGGATGTTCTGGACCTGTGATCTGTGACTGTTGGGTGCTCTGGAGCTGTGATCTGTGACTGTTGGGTGCTCTGGAGCTGTGATCTGTGACTGCTGCGTGCTCTCTCCTCAGATCTGGATTACCTGGTGCCCAAGGCTGGCTTCTTCTGTCAGATCTGCTCCTTGTTCTACGCGAAAGAAACCTCTGTGAAAAACCACTGCAAGACCCCACTTCACAGGCAGAACCTGGAGGTAAAGCTGGGGCTGCTGGGGCACAGCGGGAGGCGAGGAATCTGCTTCTGACCAGTTTGTTTTAACCAGGGCTGTAACATCCTAACGGCAAAGGGAGCTCCTGTTAAGACTTCTGGGGTTTTTAGCTTGAAACCCAGCTGCAGGCACTGTTAAATCACAACCCATGAGCAAGGCAAAAGGACAAGCACCGACCTCCTCCCACAGCATGGGGATGCTCAGCCAGGCTCAAAAGCCAAGGCCTTGGAAGTCAAACCCACGCTGCTGCTCCTCCTCTAGCCCAGGTTCTGTTGCCAAGCACCACATTAGGCAGAACCAAGCTCTCTGGGCAGCCCCCTTCCAGGCTCCTGCATCCCAACCTGTTTGCATCCCAAAATCCATGAATCCCAGTGGAAATGACCTGAAGGATCATCTGGTCCAACCTTCCTTGGCCAACATGATGGATGGCCCAGCACCCTGTGCAGCCCAGTCTTAAGTGTCCAACGCTGGGGAGTCACCACTTCCCTGCGGAGATCATTCCAGTCTCTGGCTGTTCCCAGTGTGAAAGGTTTTCCTCTTGTGTCCAGTTGGTATCTCCCCAGCCGTAACTTGTGCCCATCACCCCTTGGCTTTCCCATGGGATTCCTTGCCCAAAGGGAGTCTCCATCTGCTCCGTAGCCACCCTTTAAACACTGACCCATGTGATAAGGTCTCCCCTTCAGCTCCCTTGGTTCCTCAGTGCCCTTGGCCTGTCCCTACATCCCTTGTCCCAAGCCCCTCTCCAGCTTTCCTGCAGCCCCTTCAGGCACTGGAGCTGCTCTCAGGTCTCCCCTTCAGGAGCCTTCTCTTGTCCAGGCTGCCCCAGCCCAGCTCTCTCAGCCTGGCTCCAGAGCAGAGCTGCTCCAGCCCTCGCAGCAGCTCCATGGCCTCGCTCCATCACCTCCATGTCCCCCCTTCCCCACTCGCTGCCCCTATGTGCGTGTGTCCCAGCCTGGAGCAACGCTTTGCAGCAGGTTTTGGTGTGGATCATGCGCTGCCAGTGTGAGAAGCAGGGTGACCTTTGGCCAATGCATTCCTGAGATGATCTCCTTGTGCACTGAGGAATACCATGATTCCTTCTCACTGTTTCCCCCTTATCTCCACAGAAATTCATGGCCAAGCAGCCTGGGCAGGAGCAGAGGAGCTGGAGGTGATCAGAGGCAAGAGGAGCTCTTTTGGTGAACAAACCTTAGGGTCCAGTGAACTGTGTGTATTTTGCTCTGGTTTGATCTGTATTTTCCTTTCAGCAGCCCTCAGCTGTACAAATCTGAGCTCAGTAGAGGCTAAACCACGAGCGTGGCTGGTGGCTCGTGTTTGCCATCAGCTCACCCCCTGGAGCGAGGCTTCCACGGTGGCAACCTGAATTAAATGTTCTTACTGTATAGTTCACGCCGTGGCTGCACCTGGTGTCCTTTGTTGTCTGCTGCTAACGCCGCAGCGCAGGAAGGAACCCAGTGAGAGATCTCTGTGGTGCTGCTTCATGGAGCTCTCTGTGCATGGGATTCCTTGTGCTGCATCTGCTGCTCCAGAGCACTGACTGGGGCTTGGGGTCCTGGCCTGCACCCCCAGAGCGTGAGCAGCAGCTCAGGGAGGGGATCCTGCCCCTCTGCTGTGCTCTGGGGAGAGCCCCCTGCAGCCCTGATCCAGCTCTGGGGCAGCAGCACAAGAGGGACGTGGAGCAGTCGTGGGGCTGCTGCAGGGGCTGGAGCAGCTCTGCCCTGGAGCCAGGCTGAGAGAGCTGGGCTGGGGCAGCCTGGACAAGAGAAGGCTCCTGAAGGAGAGACCTGAGAGCAGCTCCAGTGCCTGAAGGGGCTGCAGGAAAGCTGGAGAGGGGCTTGGGACAAGGGATGCAGGGACAGGCCAAGGGCAGTGATGAACCAAAGGGGCTGGATGAGCCACTCTGGGGTTCTCTGTCAGCAGATGAAGCTCTGTAACCTCTTGGCCACCAGCTGTGTGGGGAGCCCAAAGCCAGGTTCTCTGGAGCCTTCTGAGCCAGCTCTATCTGCCCTTGCACAGCAGCCATCAGGTGATGGATGGGTACCTAAAGCAACTTCCTCTGCATCCCAGGGACTTCTTAGGATCATCTCCCATGGAGGGCAGTGTTTCCTGTGCTGAAGCATCATCCCCTCTCCGGGTTTCTTGCCTCCCGTTTAGGCCCTGGGAGGGTGGGATTTGGGCCAGCGCATTCCTGGCAAGCCAGGGAGGATGACTCAGGGGAAGAACGGGCTGGAGGCCAGGGCCAGCTTCCTCTTCCCTGATAGGTGGCACTGTCATCCCAGGGGAATGGGTTCCTTATTTAACCACTGAATCCCTGCTCCTCCACTTACCGGTTACTGCTGGGTTCCTGGCAGTTCGTGTAGAAGAGAGTTGGGAGCACCAGCTCCTAGCTGGATCTTGGTGCATCCAACCTGGCTCCATTGCAGGGATGGGGCAGCCACAGCTGCTCTGAGCACCCTCCCAGGGAAGAGCTTCTGCCTAAGAGCTCATCTCAGCCTCCCCTGGGGCAGGTTAAAGCCATTCCCCTTGGCCTGGCCCTGCATCCCTTGTCCCAAGCCCCGCTCCAGGTTTCCTGGAGCTCCATCACTCTATGAGGTGGGTTTGGATAAAGGCAAAGGGGGTGAAAGGAACGGGATGGGGACCGTGGGGTGGTGGGTCCTGGCCGGGCTCATGGAAGGAGCTGATTGCTGGGAAACCCAGGGATAAAAATAACATCCCAGGAATAGCCGGGGCCGTGTCCCTCATTCCCAGCTGTCACCGTGCGGCCGAAACGGGAGATGCCGCATCCCGGAGAGGGGTTGGGGGGAATGACACTGAGGCAGGGGGAGGACGTGGGGCTGGACCCCGCGTTGGGGCGCTTGGGGGGTGACCCCACGTTGTGCACATAGCTCACCCCCCCCAAAAACCCGTTATCCCACCCTACAGCAGCGTCCCACCCCCCAGCGCAGCCCTGGCTGCACGGTGATGGGCTGGGGCTGACCCGGGGCTCCCTGCACCTTTCTGCCTGCGGCAAAGCGCATCTCGGGGTGCAGCGGGGCTGTGGCGCGGACCGGTCCCCCCCTCCCCATAGGGGGCCACGCATTCACCCCCCGCCGCTGTATTTGGGGGGAAGCCTCCAGCTCCGCACCGCCCCGGGGCCGTTCCCCTTTAAGGGAGGCGGGGCCGGGCCGGGGGTTGTGTGGGGGGGTCCGTGGGGCGGTGGCGGCCGGGCCGGGGCGATGCTCCGGGTCTTCATCCTCCGGGCCGAGAACGTCCGCACGGCGGACGCGGACATCAGCGACGCGTATTGCTCCGCCGCGCTCGGGGGTGAGAGCACGGGGGGGTCCATAGGGGGGAAGCGGGGGGGGGGGGTTCAGTTCTGGGGGTGCCATAGAGGGTACCGCGGGGGGGGGGGGGGTGTCCGTGTAGTTCCAGCTCCGTGGGTCCCGTTGTTCCCCGGTGCCGGTTCCGGCCTCACCGGGGCTGGGGGGGGCACATAGCGTGAACACGGGCATAGCTGAGCGGTGACCGCCGCTGCCAGCCTATTTGTGGCCCTGCTCCGTGCTGGGGGGGGCGAGACGCTGCCACCCCTATCCCTGTAACACCCCCCCCGTCCCCATTGAGGGGGAACGTGTTGGGGTCCGGATCCCCCCCTTCAGTGTCCCCCCAGGACAAGTGTCCCCCGTATGGTGGTGATGGCCAATGGGGACCCCCCTGGTACCACGGATCCCCCCCTTCTGTCCCCCCAGGACAAGTGTCCCCCGTATGGTGGTGATGGGCAATGGGGACCCCTTTGGTACCAACGTGTGTGTGCCCCCCCCCCGGTATCCCCCAGACTGCTCCTGACCCCATGGAGGGTTCACAGTGAGGCCAACCTGAGGTCTGGGTGGGTGCTGGTGGGTGCTCACCCCCCCCCCCCCCCCCAGTGCTGTTGTGTCCCCATTGGTGCAGCATCCCCGGGTCTGGGGATCCCATCTCGGGGGGGGGGGGTGTCACCCCCAGCTCACAGCATCCCCGGTGCTCGTGGTCCTGCACCCCTGGGGTCTGCAGCGTCCCTGATTCCGGGTGATTTCCATCCCCGGGGGTTGCTGCATCCCTGGGCCCTGTGCTCGGGCATCCCAAAGTCACAGCATCCCTGTTCCTGCTGATTCACCATCCCTGGAGCATTCCCAGATCCGGGTGATGTATTTACCATACCAGAGCTTGATCCCTGGATCCTGGTGCTGGAGCACCCCAGGGTTTGACCCCTCTGATCCTCAGGGTTTGCATCATCCCTGCATCCTGATGATTTAATTTACCATCCCTGAGGCTTGCAGCATCCCCAGATCCCGGTGCTGGGGCATCCTCGAGGTTCACAGCATTCCTGCATCCCAGTGATTTAGTCATCATTCCCAGGGCCTGCAGCACCCCCAGACCCCAGTGCTGGGGCATCCTCAAGGTTCACAGCATTCCTGCATCCCAGTGATTTAGTCATCATTCCCAGGGCCTGCAGCATCCCCAAATCCCAGTGAGTTATTTATGGTGCTGGGGCTTGGGCAGCCTTGGAGCCTGCAGCATCCCAGGGCTCTATTTAGAGCACCCCTGGATCCCGGTCCTTTGGTACCCTTGGGGCTTGCAGCATCCCCAGGTTCCGGCTCTTGGGCATCCTTGGACTTCACAGCATCCCTGAATCCTGATGATTGAATTTCCCATCCCTGGTGCTCGCAGCATCCCAGGATCCCAGTGTTTGGGCATCCCCAGAGCTTGCAGCATCCCCAGGTCCATGTGATTTAATTTCCCATCCCTAGGGCTTGAGTATCTCCAGATCCAGGTGCTTGGGGCATCCTCAGAGCCTGCGGCATCCCTTTGTCCTGATGATTTAATTTATCATCCTGGAGGCTTGCAGCATCCCTGGATCCTGGTGCTTGGGCGTCCCTGGGGGTTCACAGCATCCCTCTGATGGCTTAATTTCCCATCCTGATGACTTAATTTACCACCTAATTTCCCATCCTGATGACTTAATTTACCACTTAATTTCCCATCCTGATGACTTAATTTCCCATCCCTGGTGCTTGCAGCATCCCTGGATCCTGGTGCCTGAGCATCCCCAGATCCAGGTGATACATTCACTGTCCCCAAGCTTAGAGCATCCCTGGGGTTCACAGACGCTCCGGATCCTGGTTCTTGGGCATCCTGGAGGTTTGCAGCATCCCTTGGTCCTGACGATTGAATTTCCCATCCCTGGAGCTTGCAGCATCCCTGAATCCCAGTGTTTGGGCATCCTCAGAGCTCGCAGCATCCCCAGATCCAAATGATTTAATTTACCACCCCTGGGGCTTGCAGCATTCCCACATCCTGATGCTGGGACATCCTTTGTAGCATTCATAGGTTCCAGTGGTTTTATTTCTTATCCGTGGGGCTTGCAGCATCCCTGGATCCCAGTGTTTGGAAATCCCCAGAGCTCACAGCATCCCCAGGTCCAAGTGATTTAATTTCCCATCCCTGGGGCTGGCACCATCCCTGCATCCCGGTTCTTGGGCATTCCCAGAGCTCACAGCATCCCTGAGTCCCAGTGATTTAGTTTATCATTCTGGGACTTGAAGCATCCCTGGATCCTGGTGCCTGAGCATCCCCAGAGCTCACAGCATTGCCATATCCTGGTGCTTTATTTACCATCCCTGGGACTTAGAGCAGCCCTGGGGCTCGCAGCATCCCTGGATCCCAGTGCTTGAGTATCCCCAGAGCTCACAGCATCCCTAGGTCTGGGTGATTTAGTTTCCCATCCCTGGGGCTCACAGCATCCCCAGATCCCAGTGTTGGAACATCCTTGAGCTTTACAGCATTCCTGGGTCCCAATGACTTAGTTTCCCATCCCTGGGGCTCACAGCATCCCTGGATCCCACTGTTAGGGCATCCCCAGAGCTCACAGCATCCCTAGGTCTGGGTGATTTAGTTTCCCATCCCTGGGGCTCGCAGCATTCCCACTCCAGGTGCTGGGACATCCTTGAGCTTTACAGCATTCCTGGGTCCCAATCCCATCCCTAATGTGACCCTAATGGGTCCCCATTAGTTTCCCATCCCTGGGGCTCACAGCATCCCTGCATCCCACTGTTAGGGCATCCCCAGAGCTCACAGCATCCCTAGGTCTGGGTGATTTAGTTTCCCATCCCTGGGGCTCGCAGCATTCCCACTCCAGGTGCTGGGACATCCTTGAGCTTTGGGGCTCACAGCATCTCTGGTGCTTGCAGC